AGACTATTTAAAGGAAGGAATCCCGTGGTATGTAACCTCTGCTATTGACTTTTATTCACTCCACATAAAGCCCGTGAGACCCATGCAGGTAATGTGTATTGATGCTTTGTTCTCTGTTAGGGCCAGCTGGCATGCTATGATATAGATGGACCAAAGTCCACTGAAGCTTTCATGTATTGAAGGACATTTGGAATGTTCTCAGTTCCGTACTATAACAAAATATAACTTCTGTTTGTGCACCATTTTCTTTGCTTTTTTTAAACAAGTTTTTTTTAAAGACTTATTTTATTTTCATTATAAAGTCACATATACAGAGAGGAAGATCTTCCATCTGATGATTCACTCCCCAAGTGAGCGCAACGGCCAGTGCTGTGCCGATCCAAAGCCAGGATCCAGGAAATTCTTTCTGGGTCTCCCATATGGGTGCAGGGTCCCAAAGCATTGGGCTGTCCTTGACTGCTTTCCCAGGCCACAAGCAGGGAGCTGGATGGAAAGCAGGTTGGCCGGGATTAGAACGATGACCATATGGGATCCCGGCGCGTTCAAGGCAAAGACCTTAGCCACTAGGCCACGGCACCGGGCCCATTCTTTGCTTTTTAAAACTAATTTTAGCTCCAGGAATTGACAATAAATCATTTGGCCTATAATTTCCCACAAAGAAAAAATCCATCAAAATATTAGGGAAATAGAATTTCCCCTTTCTTAAACTATCAACAATAAACACATCAAGTCCAATCTTTCAGAAAAGTATATAATCTCTTATGAATCAGCTATTAAATTTTTCATATGTGAATGTTGTAAGAATGAAAATCAAGGGCCCAGCGGCATGGCCTAGCGGCTAAAGTCCTCACCTTGAATGCCCCGGGATCCCATATGGACGCCCGTTCTAATCCCAGTAGCTCCACTTCCCATTCAGCTCCCTGCTTGTGGCCTGGGAAAGCAGTCGAGGATGGCCCAAAGGGACCCTGCACCTGTGTGGGAGATCTGGAAGAAGTTCCTGGCTCCTGGCTTCGGATCGGCATAGCATCGGCCGTTGCGCTCACTTGGGGAGTGTGTCATCAGACGGAAGATCTTCCTCTCTGTCTCTCCTCCTCTCTGAATATCTGACTTTCCAATAAATAAATCTTTAAAAAAAAAGAATGAAAATGGAATCACTTATCTCAATCCTAGCAAAATTAATGTAGGATATTATGTTATGAAAGAAGGGGTCTTACATATATGATTACCTTGCAGTAACTGCTGCAAAATACCCCTGCCAGAACCACAACATTGCAAAGGCCTCTACATAATATTATGTTAAAACATTTCTATAAGAACATTTGCCCAGCAACTATCAGTTCAATTCAGGCTGATGTCACCTTGTTATTTATCATTGTGACCAAATATTTTGCAAGATCTCTTGGGTAACCCTTCCCACCTCCTTTAAAAAAACATTATGTATTTTACTTGAAAGTCAGAGCTAGAAAGACAGGGAAAGGAGGGCCAAGTATGTGCTGGGCAGAACCAGGCTGGACTGTGGCACCTGTTGGTTCCAGTGGAAGACACGGATGGAAACAGAACCAACCCAGCAATTGCAACCAGCAGCTGATTGGGGCAATGGGCTGTGCCGGGCTCTGTGCTTGCTAGTACATGCAAGAATCTGGTCTGGGAACACCTCAGACAAAGTTTCTTTGGGGATCCCCCCAGTCGAGCTTTCAGACTCAGAACCCTAACCATGAAAAGACAGAGGACAGAAGTAGTCGATCAACCACTCAGCTATATGTTGACAGTGAAAAACTGGGCAAATGGAGACTCTATGATGGACTATGTCAATCAGTGGATTCTTCAATGACCTCATTGTGCTTGGAGTGCCAAGACTGGCAGCATTTCAGAACTGTTGAAATATCAAAACCACTTGAGGAAGACCCTCAGAGCATGCCCCACATCAGGAATCTGGGGTGGGTGGGAGACTGGGTGGGCCGTCTCCCTTAAAATCCCCTTTTATATCAGATATATTAAGGAAACAATACGGAACTAATTGTCTTGCCCATCTTCCTGTAGCGCTTGAACCTTTTTACCCTAATTATGTAAAGATTGTCCAAAAAAGCAAATAATTAAAAAAAAAAAGCAGGGGGGAGACGTCGAGAGATCTTCCATCTGCTGGTTTACAACCCAAATGGTCACAATGTATAGAGCTTGATTATTCTGAAGCTGGGAGTCAGGAGCCTCTTGCATGCCTCCCATATGTATGCAGGAGCCCAAGATCCCTGGCCATCTTCTGATGCTTTCCCAGACCATTAGCAGGGAGCTGGATAAGAAGTGGAACAGCTGGGATTTGAACCAGTGCTCATAATGGATGCTGGCTCCACAGGTGGAGAATTAGCCTGCTACACTCCCATGCCAACCCCAACTCTCCTCACGATTGCCTTGACTCAGCCTCTTTGAATGTGTCCATGATTTACTGTGGCATGCATATTCCAATTGCAATGCTTTTCCAAATATAATTCGATTTCTCTTCAATTTTAACCTCCTAGTACTCTCTGAGTAAAGACATCAGACAAAATGTACAGTGAAGCCCAAACTAAAAACCTCTTTTCCCCCCTCAAACCTATGACCCACAGATAACCTTGATAAATAGGTGCTGGGGTAGCACTCTATGAATTTATCATTAATTGGTGCTAGGTAACTACATTTTATGTAGCTGTTGAGTGTCCCTGAAGGTGTGAAGAGTATTGTTCCATTGCAGGCAGGACTGCAAGGAATTTCCCGCTGCATGGCAGGGCCCAGTGAATGTCTCTACAGCCACCTGAATGCAGCTCCACCTTCCTTTGCATGGACACCGGACCACCCTGCAGAAGAATTCTGCAATCCATTCAGGCATTGTTTGCTGCTGAAGAGTTGGCTTTTTACTATCAATGTGAGCTTGGAGGTTAATGTCAATAATAATATCTTGCAAAAGGGCCTTTTATTACTCATGCTGTCTTGGGTGTCCCCATCAACCTAATGCTAATCAAGGGACCTATGTTTAGGGTTTCATTCTTTCCTTGATCTTTAGGTTCTCCTTTTCTTTGTGATACATTTCATCCCTTAACTGATTCAAGATTGAGCTGTAGAATAAGAATTGCAGTAGGAACTTCTATTGAGTTTTCAGGTGAAACAAACAGCAGAATTATTATTGGATACATCCACTTGACCATGTGCCAGAGCTTGTGAGGGTTTCTGTACAAATAAAGGGGACAGCTTTCTTGCATTTGTCCATCATGATGCTGAAATTGTAGTGGTCCGTTTATTTTCTCTTACGCCTACTCCACGCACACTGCGCGAGTTCCAAACTCCGGCATGATCCAGCTCCCAATTTATGGCTTGGGAAAGCAGCAGAGGAGAGCCCAAATCCTTGGGACTCTGCACCCATGTAGGAGACCCAGAGGAAGCTCCTGGCTCCCAGTTTCAAACTAGCCCAGCTATGGCCATCATGGCCATTTGGGGAGTGAACCAGCAGAAGGAAGATCTCTCTTTCTCTCTCTCTCTCTGTCTCTCTCTCTGCCTTTTAAAGTAAGAATAAATAATTGTTTAAAAAAAAGAAGAAAGAAGGAAAAGAAACAACCACACACATAAATCTCAGGTCACAGACTGTGATATGTGAGGAAAAGAAGAAGGAAATGTGATAAAGGAAAAGCCAGGAAGGAAATGCGAAATTTTCATTGAAACTAGAATCTGCAGAGTGAAAATAAGCTGAGGATAAAGGAAGGGGAAAAGCCCTCCAAGAAAAATTTGAGAAAAAATGTGAAAAACTTTAAAATAAATCCTCCCAAATAGAAGCAGTGGAGATACCCTCCCTAGGATAGTTTTTGGATTATCTGATGCTATAGGAGCTGATACCTTTTACTGTCTTTGAATTAATTTAGGACCAGGAGGATTGTAGAACGCTTACTGCAATGCAAAGAATAAGTACATAATTGTGTGTGTATATTATATATATATATAGTTTTGAAAGAGGGGATAGAGACAGAGCACTCCTGTCAGCTAGTTCACTTCCCAAACACCTCCCTCAACCCCAATAACCTACTTCTGTGCCAAGGCCAAAGCCAAGAGCCAGAGACTCAATCCATTCCCCCACAAGGATGACAGGAATCCTATTTTTATTTGATCCATCGTCGCTGCCTCCCAGGGTCTGCTTTAGTGGGAAGCTGAAGTCACGAGCTAGAGCAGGGTGTCAGACCCAGATGCTCTGATATGCGATGTGGGCATCTTATTTGCTAGGGCAAATAATTCTTAGCTTTAGAGATGCAAGTGAATCTTTTCTAGTGGGATATGGTTGACTATTGCCTGTGGATATTGATCAAATTTGTCTCTATATATTTACTTCAGCTATCCTATTAGTCATTGAATGTGTTGTTTCAATTCTTCAATAAGTTAATCTTCTGTGTAGTATAAAGATGGGTTTAACTTCATTCTTTTGCATATGGCTATTCTGTTATTCCCTGTTAAATTGTATTGGCACCCTTGTTGAAAATCAATGAGCCATTTGTTTCTAGACTTTGAAGTCTGCCTTATTAAGCAGTGTTCTTAGCCTATGCCCTTACCACACGTCTAGATTACTGTAGCTTTGTAGTAAGTTGTGAAATCAGGAAACATGATAATTTTGTTCTTCTTTCTTAAAAAAATGTATATGTATAGATACATTTTTTATACATGTGGGATCTTTAGGATATTGATGGCAAGTAGCTTGTTCTGGGTCACTCTGATCATATTCCCATTTTATCTTCAAACTACAACTGAAAGCACAAGGGCAGTGCTAACAGAGACAGTGTCTCCCATTCTCCCCAACCTGGGTCTGTCTGACCTCCTAGAGCCTTGGACTGCATTGGCTGGGGACAGAGCCAAGGGCTGTGATCAGGGTGTCCCTTGGGAGTGGCTTCGCAGGAGCTCACCAGGTGCACTAACACAGAGAGTCCTCTCATCATTGCCTTTGGAGACAACTTCATAACTTCCTCTTTTGATGTTTTTTCACTTGATTTTAGGTGATGAGTCATATGAAAACAGATGCTCTTCTATGGGTCCTGGATGTTGACACCCAAGTTATAAAAGTCATCCCCTGGCAGGATCAGGGGCCAGGTGAGTGATCCAGCAGAGATGCCCTGCCATACTTCACAGAGCAACATGCATTGTCCTCCCAGAGCACCCGGCTTGTTGGACTGGCCTTATTTACCCCATTCAAAAGAGAAACGTGAGGTGGCAGGAGACTTGGGGAAGATAAGGGATCAAGTTTTCCTTTTTGTGGCAAAGGGTTTGCTTCACATTGGCACATACCACAATGGTATTGCCCACAGTAGGTTGTGTCTTCACTTCCTTATGTTGCTGTTTCCCTGGCTGAGCTGAGCCTGTACTTCTTTTGTTAATGCTGAAGTTCAGGCCCTCTGACTCCAGCTCTTTGCATCCCACCCTTCCCCCAGACATCCATTGCTACCCAGAGAAGGAAGTGGGATTGTTCCAACTTTGAATGACCCTAGCTCCACCCATACTGACTTGCAGGGACCGCTTCCTTTCTAATATGCCAGTGAACAGTTTCCTAATAAGTATTGTAAAGGCATGAAACTTCTCTCCCACGACAGAAGTGTGACCAAGTTCACAATCTAAGTCACAGAGTTTATTTACCTCCAGTTAAGAAAAACTTTTTATTGAGTCTAGATGAAGTAGACAACTGGAAGAAGCAAATTTTAATGTGATATGTGATGACCTGAAAGAAAGTGAGAACATCCTATACCTGATCTTACCTGTTTACCTGAAGATACTTTTCAAACTTACCTGAAACCATGTGAAATATTTAGAAGTCTGAGTTTAAAAAATTAACACAAGGAGCTGATGTGATTTAGTGGCAGGTAAAGCCACTGCTTGTGATGCTGGCATCACATATGGGCAAGGATTTGTGTCCTGGCTGACTCATCTTCCTCCTATGGCTTAGGAATAGCAGTAGAAGATAGTAGTCCAAGTATTTGGGCCCCCGCCATTCACGAGGGAGACTCAAACGAAACTTCTGGCTCTTGACTTCAACCTGAACCAGCACTGGTCATTGTGGCCATCTGGGGAGTGAATTGGCAAATGAAAAATTTCTTTCTCTCTCTTCCTCACCCCTCTTCTTTTTCTCCCTCCCTCTCTCCGTAACTCTGACTTTGAAAATAAGTATAAGTAGATCTTTTTAAAAAGCCAATACCAACCAACTTAGTAGCAGACACAGCCAATAGTTCTACAGGAGCATATGCGATAGGAATAGCCTGGAATGGAACCAGGAAAACACTGTCATGCCTAGGTTTATTTATCTAGACTGTCAACCAGTTGGTAGAGGGAAAAAGAATGTAGCTGGCATGTAAAAATTATACCCATTAGAGAATTAACTCTTCGGGCATAAGATTCATGTTCTAAATATTCATACAACAATCTTAGAAGTGTTTGTATATATGGTAAGTGGAGACAAGATCCCTAAATATAAGATGTATAGATATCATTTTGTAACTCCTGAAAATGAAAAGATTTACAAATGAATAGTTTCTACCTGGTCATAGATTAAGCAGACATGATGTTGCACATGGATTTGGAACCCCAGATAATGAAGATTTTATTAGAGGTGCATCCATATTGGCAGGCAATTTTGACAAGTGCAACCTGGCCACAGGCATTTATCAACTTCCACAGTCATTCTTGAGAAAGGCAATGATCATGTATGTTGGAGCCTTGGACCTAGTTGCTATAAATAAGGTGAAATGCAATCATTACCACTGAAAAAGAGAAATGACCGTATATTCAATTCTGTCTTTCAAGTAAAACAAATCATTTTTAAAAAGAAAATACTGCATATAGTATTTCTAAAAATGAGTTTGAAGCCATTTTGGGGGGGGGGGTTTGTTAACTCAATGTCCCAACCTAGTAACTTTTGCTTTTCTGATTTTATTTATTTTTATTGGAAAGGCAGGCTTGAAAAGAAAAGGAGAGACGAATGAAAAATCTTGCATCCTCTGGCTTACTCTCCAAATAGTCGTAATGGCTGAAGCTAAGCTAATCCAAAGCCAGGAGCCACGAGCTTCTTCCTGACTTCCCATGTGGATACAGGGTTCCAAAGCTTTAGGCCATCCTCTCTTGTAGTTTTGATCCCAACATAACCAGCTGTCTGACCTGGGGCAAGTTTTTTAACCCTTTGAAACTGTTTCCACATGTGCGAAATGATGATAACCAGAATATATGCCACATAGTCATGTTCCAAAGACTGGTCAGTCTTTGTTCTTAAGGAACTGTAATTTTTTGAAAATATATGAACATGTACAATAGAATGACGAATTTGATGTATGGTGAGGTGGTGATTTCCGTGGTGCCTATCAGGCTGTGTTTTTTTGTTAATTTACTTTTTTCCTGTTGTTGCTGGCGTAAAGCCTGTGCCACTGGAATGGCATCCTCTTCTTCCTCTCTTGCTTTTGTCTCCCACCTGGATTCCCTTTGTTATTCCTTCTTCCTCCCAGCCCAAGAAGTTGATTTTTCAGGAAGATTAAAGCAAAACAGTAGCCAGAAGTTCAAGGCTTACTTAACAACATCAAAAGAAATCTTTCCTATGCTGACATTTTTAACAGAGTAGGGGGCCCACATCTGGTCAGTGTCTGTCTACTAGAGGAAGGAACATGGTCATGGTCATTCACTGTCAGCTTGAACATGACTCAGTCACTGTATGGTTGACTGGGAAGGAGGTTAGGGATAAGAGGGCTTCATATTGGTAGGGGATCTATGTATCCTAATCTTTATTCTAGATTTCTGCTTCCACAGAGATAAAATTTCAGTACAGTACCCAAATGAGGGTAAGATTTTTTAGCTAGAGACATGTGAATGTTATAGGCCACCCCACCAAGAGATCCCTGTCATGAGTGAGATACAGAGCTGCCTAGGACAGGGAAAATGAAGGGATCAGAAAGAGTTCTTTAATTATGATTAAGAGCAAGGGGAAGGCTCCGGCCCCTCCCACATCCCCAACCTCTTTTATGAAATAGGGGTGGAGCCTAGGTGAAGTTTAGCTTCTGTGAGGTTTCCTGGGATTTTCATGGCACCTCCACATGGAGTTTAACTCCCATATGGCCATCATGGCATCTCCTCTTTAACATGAAGGAGATACAGGTGTGTCTGGAAAATTGGGCAATTGTATTGATAGGTAATGGGGAATGAATTATAAAGCAGGGCTGGCAGAAATTCCAGATTACCCATTCCTGTCTAGCCCCTGCCTGGTACCTCTATATCAATACAATTTTTTCTACTTTTTTAGATGTATTTATTTTTATTGGAAACACAGATTTACAGAGAGAAGGAGAAACAGAGACCTTCCATTTGCTGGTTCACTCCTTAAATGACTACAATGGTTGGAACTAAGCTGATCTGAAGACAGCAGCTACCTCCAGGTCTCCCACGTGAGTGCAGGGGCCTAGAACTTGGGCCATCTTCTGCTGCATTCCCAGACCAATAAGCAGGGAGCTGAATGGAAAATGGAACAGCCAGGACATGAACTGGCACCCATATGGATGCTGGTGCTGCAAAAATCCAGGAATTTCATCTTGGTCTCCACATGGATGGAAGAGACTCAAGTACTTGGGTCATCATCTACTGTCTAGATTAGAAATGGAGGCAGGACTTGATCCCAGACACTCCAACATGGGATGCAGACATCACAAGTGGAGGTTTAAGTTGCTAAGCCACAACACCTACCCCGTAAGAATGTTTTTGATGACCAGTGGCTCTTCATTTTACTTAAGAATCACACCCTAAATCGTAGAGGTTCCCAGGGCTTCCCTGAATGATTTATGGAATTCCCATTGCCACCTCTTTTCTGCTTCTCATTTTCATCTTACTTCCTGCCAGTTCTACACAGGATTTCCCTGGCTCCTTGCAGACCCCAGCCCATGTTAGGAAATAGTCTAGCAACCTCCCTTTGTGCTTCACACAGAGGATAGGCCCCATGATGACTCCTTATCTGCCAGCTGATGTACTTGGTGAGGCCTCTTACTGGCAGTCCCCACATTCACCTATGTCTCCCCTAGGAGGGCAGGAGGACTGCTACATGGCACTGTCCATGGATCACTTGTTGCTGGCCTTACTGTAGGCAACCACAGATTCATGGAGTATCTTCCAGTACATGTGGGGTAAGCAGCAGGTGCATGGGTTAATGCACCATATCTGAAATTTCTTACAACAGGTAAATTTGAGTCACAGAAACAATGAAGAGAAACAGCGTAACTAGGAGTTGATTTGATTGTTTGCAATTCTCTTCCTCATTAATTTCCATAGTCTCTGGTTTTAATCTCTCCAAAGAGGAATTATAAAAGAATCAGGTACCCTCGATAATCTGTTTTCTTCCCCTCACTCTCTTTGGAGAAAGTTTACCTAATGTCTTAAATCATAAGAGAGTTAAGAGAAGTATGGACAACCCTTCTAAGTCACCTGTTGGTTGAACTCTTGGAGGCCACCAAGGCAATTTCACCACCTACCAGCACCAATGGAACTAAGCAGGCCTAGACTCTGCCTTATGCTGATCATCTAGTAAATTAGATTGCAATAAACTCATATGAAAATAAGTCAAAACTTCTGTCAGTGTCTGTCCTTTAGGCTAGGTCAATGGCCTTCTTTTGGTCCCCACTGAGGAAAACAAATGTGTCATTCTGAAGCCGCAGCTGAAGGTCTGTAATTTTACATGAGGGTTCCCTGAACAGATCTCAGGAAAATGTAGTCTGACTTATGGCCAAGGAGCAATCATTAAAAAAAAAATGGATGACAGACTCACTTTCTGTTTAGAAGCAGAGGACTATGATCATGGTGCAGATGAGAACAAAAAGGGCAAAGGCAAGCTGGAAGGCAGGGGAGAATGGGTACTGGTGAGATTGGTCCTAGGAGCTCACTCTTTAAAATATAGATATATTTATTTATTTTTATTGTAAAGTCAGATATACAGAGAGGAGGAGAGACGGAGAGGAATCCGTCCGCTGATTCACTCCCCAAGCAGCCACAGTGGCCAGAGCTGAGCCAATCCAAAGCCAGGAACCCAGAGTCTCTTTCAGGTCTCCCATGTGGATGCAGGGTCCCAAGGATTTGGGCCATTCTCGGCCGTTTTCCCAGGCTACAGGCAGGGAGCTGGATGGGAAGCGGGGCTGCCGGGATTAGAATAGGATCTTAGTGCATGCAAGACAAGGACTTTAGCCGCTAGGCTACCTCATCAGGCCCAAAAGGGAGCTCACTCTTGCTGACCTCTTTTTAGGATCTGAAAAATCTCCCTTCCTTTTTCACAGTTGGCTCTGAGTCATGGAAACAGAAATTACAGAAGCCCAAGAAAGTTATTTTAGGTCTGGCAGTGTCCTGTGAGAGAGTTCAGGCTCGCCTGTAGTTACTGGAGAAGTTGAGGATTGAGTTGCTAATTTGATGAAGAGCTGTGATCTGGAGTCTACATTATTGGTAGCATACAAGTTACTAGTTTCTGGAAGGATGAGTCTACTTCTGCTATGAAGAAAGGACGGGGTTGAGAGAGTCTTGTGAGCAAGCAAGACTCGGGAGCTGAGGGCCTTGGATAGGAGCTGGTGCGAGGACAATTGTAGAGACCTGTGTGGTATTAAACCGGCAGAGAAGAGTGGGCAAAGCCAAGGCAGGTGAGGACTCACTGCTGCCTGCATGCTCCTGGGGTCCAAGCCGAGGCAAACCTAGATCTGAGGAGCTGGAAACTGGTTATGACCCAAAAGGGAAGATGTCAAGTGCATGGTACCATACCCTGACTCTGGGTACCATCGGCCCCACAGGGTTTTTGGGTATACAAAAACAACACAGTTGCTCACTTGATGGAGCTAGTAGAAAATGTTTTTGACAGCAAGTGGAGGTGAGAAATTAGTGTTAGAGCCATAAGTGGATTGAGAAACCCACAGATTAGCAATTCCCCTCTCCCCTCCAAGGAGCAGATCTCACCATTGCTGTGACCACATAGGGTGACCTTTATGGTAATGTCACAGCAATGTGGGCAGCACAAGTCACACTTAGATTACACCCTAGGTGAAAAGAACCATGACATCACAAAGATGAGCATGCTTCTAATAAATGGTTAACCAATGACGTAAATATCAGGAATGGTTACCAAGTGACCAAGCTCAGCTGGTACTTTCTACCAAGAACAGTTCCAGTAGTGATGATGTAATTTGCATTTTCACCTATGAGGCATATACATGTATAATATTCTCCACAGTTGTCTTGACTGGACAAATGTAACATAAATGATGATTCCTCTGAACTTTTTAAAATTTCATTTACTTACTTACTTGAGAGGTAGAGAGTGTTTCCTTCTGCTGGTTTACTCTCCACATGCCCCACAGTGACCGCTAATTGAGATAGAAGCCAGAAGCCAGGAATTCAAATCATGTGGTTGACAGCGCAATTTCTTGAGCTGTCTGTGGTACTTCCCAGGGTCTACACTAGCAGGAAGCTGGAGTTAGAGTGGTCAGCTCCCCCAAGGCATGTGATCTGATATCAGACATGGCATCTTAGCCAACATCTTATGTGCCATGCCAAACGCCCAGAATCTTAACTAGCCTGTTTGATTCAAACCCAAATGGACAGAATGGAATAGAGGAAGCAACGGTCACAGAAATGATAAGAATCTGTGACTTATCAAATAGTCACAGATCCTACAATACAGCATCACTGCTAGGTTCAACACTGGGTTATAGACTATAGATTGTAGGAAGCAGCGCTGAAACAAGCCCAGGAAAAGACTGCCCTCAAAAGAAAGCAAGGCAATAGTTAAAGGTTTGGCTAATGGAGTTTTTGCCTTTAAACAAAAACATTTGCTCCAGTTATACTTCAAGAGTCATGAAACTGCTAAAGAGGAGTAAGTGCTACAGAAAAACTGTCTCCCTCATTTGCCCTGCTGCCTACCTCTGGGTGCCAGCTGCTCCCAGATTCTGTCTCTTGTCACAGTCCCAGCTGGGTCTCCATTGTCTACCAAGCTGCCAGATACTGAATCAGTTCTACTGTTTTCTGCATGCAATACATTTTTACTATCATCATGTACAACTTTTGAGGGTAGTTGTTAGTTCACTTCTTACAGTGCATAAAAAGAAATCAAATTATATCACTAGCAATGTTGGGTTTTTTTTTTTTCTCTTCCTATGAGATCCTTCCATTGCTTGTGGACAAGATGGTAAAGATGGGGACCCTTGGATAGTACCAACATGTGACTGTGGAGTGATAAAGCCCCAAAGAGGCCCGACAGAGCCATGGGGAAAGAGAAGTTCTGTGTCCTTTTAACAGTCTTGTTATTTGGAAGGCAGAGAACCCACTGGTTCATTTCCAAATGCCTGCAACCATCGAGGTTGGGCCAGGCCAAAGTTAGGAGCCTAGAATTCAATCTGAGTCTTCTACATGGGAGGCAAGCATGCCAGTACTTGGACAATCACCTGTTACTTCAAAGATGCACATTAGCAGGAAGCCGGAATTGGAAACAGAGCCAGAACTGTCACTCAGGCACAGTGATATGGAATGCAGACATCCCCAGGGGGTGTCTTAACTCCTGTCCAAATGCAGACCCCAAGGTGTGTCCTTGATGGCATTGTTGAGTTGCCAAACAACAACAACAACAACAATAAAACACCTGAAAATACCCGCCTTTACAACAAGGAAGCAAGAAATGTCCCAGGATGGATTTCTTTTTATTGTTGGAAGCCTTTTTTTCTTTTCTTTCTTTTTTTTTTAAACTGGGGCTAGGCTGGGCCAAAGCCATGAACCAGGAACCAGGAACTTCTTCTGGGTCTTCTAGGTATCCCATGTGGGTGCAGGGGCCCAAACACTTGGACCATTTTCTGCTCCTTTCCCAGACCACTAGTAGGGAGCTGGATGGGAAGTAGAACAGCCAGGACTGGAAAGAACTCATGATATGCCGCTACCACAGGAGATGGCTTTACCTGCAACAATACTGCACTGACCTTAGGACTTCCTTTTTAAATGCCTTTATTTTCTTGGCTTTTAGATGTGTTTGCTTGTTTGTTTACTTACTTATTTGAGGTGTCTGTAAAGGTCAGAAAGTGATCAAAGAGTGACACCCAATTCAGGCTTGGCATTCATATCGGCTCCTCAATTAGCAGCTCACCCAGTGACTGGCATAGAGTAGGGTACAATCTATGTTTCTCAAGACTTTAGCATTGCCACTAGGGCACAGTGAGGCCACTGGGACAGCTGGACAGGGTACCAGATAACCAGTCCATGGGTGAGAAACCTATCTGCTGATCAATTCTCGTTAGAAGGCTTTGGCTCACACCACCATCTCACCTTCTCTCGCTGGGGAAACCAAGTGACATATTAAGCCGTCCTGGCGAGTGGCTGGACCCTTCTGGCAACCCAAAGCTCTGCTGTGTGTACAGTGTATGGCAGGACACCAACACCATGATGGTAACCTGCCCCCACCTTCCTCCCCCCAACCCCTGATGCCCAAGGCTGTCTATAAAGAGAAGAGACGGGGCAGACCCCAGGAGGAGGCAGCAGCTCTCCCTCGGCCATAGCCAGAGCACATACCCACCTATCCAGCTTCATGGAGATCTCCACAGCTGTCCTTGCTGTCCTGTTCCTCATGGGGACCCTCTGCTCCCAGACCTGCCCTGCCTATCGTGAGTGCTTCTCGTTCATGCGTCCCCACTCTCTGGCCTTGGGTAGGAGTACCTTAACCAGGTGCCTGAGACCCTCCAAGGAGAGAGCTCCAGAAGGCTCTCAGGGACTCCTCCATGAGAAGTTCTGAGGGGCACTGGCCACTTTATTCTTGCCTTCTAGGAGACGGGGCTAAGGGCAGAGTGGAGTTCAGTCCCATTTTAGGGATGAGAAAATGGAGACTCAGCTGGGATTTGGACAAGAGGTAGGATCTTGGTCCAAACAATTGTCAGTGGTATGACCTTGTCTCTCATGAAGTCTCCAAGGGGAGAGAGAGTAAGAAGTGGTCTATTGAGAAAACTGAATTCCCTATAGAGAGACCTAGAGGGTATATGCTTGCAATGAAGGAATCTCAACTGAACTTGAACTGTGGTTATGCAGCAAGGTGGAGGAATCCACTATGGGGGGAGGGGTGGGGGGAATCCCCAGTGCCTATAAAACTGTATCACATAATACAATGTTAATAACAATTAAAAAAAGAGAGACCTAGAGACCCCCAAACCCAAATAAACAAAAGAATAACTTACAAAAACAGCAAGGTGTGAGGAAAAGAAGAGGCCAGCTTACTCCCGGGCCTTTTGTCACCGTCCCCGCCCTGTCCCCACTGCGAGCGGTGTGAGGAAAAGAAGAGGCCAGCTTACTCCCGGGCCTTTTGTCACCGTCCCCGCCCTGTCCCCACTGCGAGCTCTCCTGTGCTGTTCTAGTTCTTCCTGACCCTCGACAGTGGGTAGCCGGAACTGCAGGACTGGCTTCTCTTCCCGACAGTGACCGGGAACCTTTCTGTCTTGCCTCTCCTAGGTGGTGCCAACACCCCGACTGCCTGCTGCTTCCTGTACGTCTCCCGGCAGATTCCACGCAAGCTTGTGAATGACTACTATGAGACTAGCAGCCAGTGCTCCAAGCCTGGCATCATGTAAGGGCCAGTTCCCTGGTCACCCCTGGGGAGGAGGCTGGACATTGTGAAAGGAGGCCCTTTCAGGGAAGTCAGCTCTCTGAGGTTTGCCAGGGTACAAGTCTCTGGGGGCAGAAGGGAAGGGGTGCTGGTAGTGCTTCCTGACGTGGTTTGGAGCCTGTAGAGAGTCTCTCAGGGCTTTTTGAGGGACTCCTCCCCCAGACACCCAGGGAACGTCTGTGGGCCCCAAGATCAAGAAGAAATGCAAGGAGCATGTAGCCCTTGGCCCTGAACCAGCTGGAGTGGAAAAGAACAGCAGGGCTGTGGGTCTACGCTGCTGGCTTCCTCTGTGTGTGATCTTTCTATCCTCCTCCACAGCTTCCAGACCAAGAGAGGCCGCCAGGTCTGTGCTGACCCCAGTGAGACCTGGGTCCAGGAGTACATCACAGAACTGGAGATGAATGCCTGAATGGCCAGAGCTGCTAGCAGGCTGGATCCTGTCCCCTCAGGCCCAACCATACCCTGGGGCTGTCCTGAAGTTTCAGTTTCTGTGCTGTATTTAGTGTTTTCACTCCTGGCCATTGCTGAATGGTGGTATGCAGGACAAGTGTTCTGTGGCGTCCCATGACATCCTCTGGCTTCTCCCTCCCTCCAACTCTTCTTGCTTTCACTATGTTCACTCTTCGCAGGAACTGTCCCAGGGACATCAAAGACAAATGCTTACTGGATGCTTTTGTCCAGCTCCAAGTCTAATTATTAAAGGTATGTGTACAAAAGACAAACCAGCATTTCATTTGTGATGTGTCTGTTAATTTTGTGTTCCTTAGTAATCAGAATCATAGATGGATAGGGAGAGTAAAAGGAAGGTAGGGAAATCTGAACAGAGGTAGAAACCACACAGTACTGTCTGGGAAATTGTTCTGGTTAAGTGAATGCCACGATGATGCCGACTTTTGTGCACAAGTTGGAGGGAGTTCTTCAGTGAAATCTTCCTCAGAATGGATGGCTTGTGGCTGTTGAGGGCTTTCCAAGGGCTGTCTGCGATGGGTGATAAGCCCCTTTTTATAAGGGATGTACACTCCCAGGTTGGACATCACATGCGTTCAGGGTACCCAATTAAACTTATGTTTTCAGCTATGCTGTGCCAACCTAGTGACACCCTAGCAGACGCCATCCACCTTCTAATAAGGACTCCCTGTGTGGCAGGTGGCTAAGAGCTTTACTCAGGTAGATCCTCTGTCATTCTCCACTCTGTTTTAGGGAAAATGTTCTCCATGGCCATCTTTAAGGTGAGGCTTAGGAGTTGAGTTACTGAATAAACACAGAGTAAATTTGTAGGGTGAGTATATCCCATGCAGTATTTGGAACATACTTATACAACAAATTACTCATTGGCTATCTGAAACCTGATATCCTTGGGTATCCCATGTTGCATCTGGAAGCTTTGCTTACCACGAGTGTCTCTTACGGAGGTGTTTATTTGCTGTCAGGGATGGAGCATCCAGTGAGCTGAGCTTTTCAACATCAAACTTACATCAGAATCATGTGGAGGAAGTTTTATAACTTCAGTGCCAGGGTTCTCCCTCGAAGATTTATTTATTTATTTATTTAGTAAAGTCAGATTACAGAGAGAAGGAGATACAGAGAGAAAGATCTTCTGTCCGCTGGTTCACTCTCCAAGCGGCCACAATGGCAAGAGCTGAGCTGAGGAGCCAGGAACTTCTTCCCTATCTCCCATGCAACTGCAGGGTCCAACTTTGGACCATCCTCTACTGCTTTCCCAGGCCACAGGAAGGGAGCTGGAGGGGAGGTGGGACAGCTGGTACAGAACCCAATGCCCATATGGAATCCTGGTGCATGCAAGGCAAGGACTTTAGCCACTAGGCTAGGTATGCCTATTTGAAAGAGAAGAGTTACAGAGAGAAGGAGAGATAAAGGGGGAGGTCTTCCATCTCATGGTTCACTCCACAGATGGCCACAATTGCTGGGGTTGAGCTGGCCTGAAGCCAGGAGCCAGAAGATCCTACATTGAAGCAAGGCCACAAGCACTATGGCCATCTTCTGCTGCTTTCCCAGACCATTAGCAGGGAGCTGGATCAGAAGCAGAACAGTCAAGACTGGGACCAATGCCCATGGCAGGAGCCAAGAGCTTCTTCCAGGTTTCCCATGTGGGGGAAAGGGCCTAAGGAATTGAGCCAGCCTCCACTGATTTCCCAGGCCATAAGTAAGGAGTTGGATGGCAAGTAGAGCAGCGAGGACATGAACTGGTGCCTATATGGGATGCCAGCACCACAGGTAGAAGCTAAGCTTACATGCCACAATGCTGCCCCTCCCCCCAAGTTACAAATTTAAAATTTTTCGAAGATTTACTTATTTTTATTGGAAATGAATATCAGATTTATGGAGAGAAGGAGAGACAGAGAGAAAGATCTTCCATTTGTTGGTTCCCTCCCCAAATGGCCATATAGACCAGAGCTTAGCTGATCTGAACCCAGGAGCTTCTTCCAGGTCTCCCACAGTGGTGCAGGGTCCCAAGACTTTGGGCCGTCCTCTACTACCTTCCCAGGCCACAAGCAGGGAGCTGGATGGGAAGTGGAGCAGCCAGGACACCAACAGTGCCCATACTGAGATTCTGACAATGCTTGCAAAGTGAGGATTTAACCACTGAACCATCACACTCTTCCCACTTCCCCCTCCACCAAGTTGAAAATTTAATTTGCCTTAGGTGCGGTCTAAGTTGTTGTAAAACAACTTAGTGGGCACCAATAGTTGTAAAAAGCCCCAGGTGATGCGAATGTGGTGTCAAGCATTGATCCCAACCACTGGCAGGTGTTTGGGGCCAGCTTTGGGAGTTAGGATCTTCAAAGGCTTCCCACCTAGTTGTTTTTTGTAAACTTCACTGGTTAATCCGAAGCACACATTCTGTCGACTGAGTTCTGGATTTCTCTACAACACAGTGTGGGGAGCTCTAATAATAATAATCCCTTGTACCACACACACTTCCACATTGCCCTCTGCTGGAAAATGATGTTAATACACTGGATATCCCCGTGAGGCTCACTGCCCCTGATGTGTCCCAGCTGCCCTCTCATACAGAACATGGTTGCTGAAGTGCAGTAGTTAATTTCTGCATCACTTGATCGGGTGAAGGCACGAACGGAGAGTAACAAAACATGATTCCTGTGTGTGGCTTTGCAGTGTTTCTGGAAGAGGCTACCCTTTGGGTCAGAAGATTGAGTCAAGAGCTGCCCTTGAGGCACAGGTGGACATGGTCGCACTCATGGAGCACTTGATTGGCCAAACAGGCAGAGGAAGGGCAAGCTCTGAGTGTGAGCAGGGACGGCCGTCTCCTGTCGTGCAACATCGGTGTTCCGGTGCTCAAGCCTGGGGATTCATGTGGGACCTGGACTGTCCCCCACCCACTCTCCACCTCACTTCCATTCTGGACTTACAATAAGGCTGACACCACCAGCCCCTCCGGTTTACAGGATTTTGAACTTTACTGGGTCTTTAGTTTGCAGATGGCAGATCCTGTAGCTTCTTGGCCTCCATAATTGGGTAAGTGAATTCCCTTGCTAACTCTGTGCATGTGTGAGAGATAGAACCCACAAGTTAGAGAGAGCAAGAGGCTATTGGTTCTCTCTCTGGAGACCCCTGAGTAAAGCCTTAATTTTAGCAACCAGACATGGAAAAGAAGGGGTCTGAGGACAGTGGTCAGGAGGCTTTTGAAGCACCTGAGTGCCCTGCCTGGTCACTTCCTTATTTGTGGTTGTACTCCCGTGAGTGTGAACTGGAGGACTCTGCCTTCCATCTCCTGCACACTCCACGTGACTGGACTGTGACTTGCAGGCAGGAAGTGGCCCTCATGGACCTTTGTTTCCCTCTTTTGCTATCAGATGAGTCACTTCTGCAGTAGTTCGCCTTTCTTGAAGGGCCTTACTGACTGACGCTTGACGATAACTCAGCAATATCCTGATTTCATTTTTTTTTTTTTTGTGAAACCTTGGTAGGAAATCTTCAGAATATTTAACAGATCATGATGGCAACCAGCATTTTACTAACCAGTGATGTCTCATGGCCTCAGCTCCTGCCCCCTGCAAATTCTACTTTTGGGGTCAATTGTAACACTACAATTTGTATTAGGAGTATTTTAGTCATAGGATCAGAAAAACTGACTCAGTCTGGTCTAAACCATAACAGGAACTTGTTAACTCATGTTACTGACACTTCATGAAGTAGCATCAGCTTCAGACAAGACTTGATCCAGTGGACCTAAAGTACCAGCAGTTTGAAAGTTTCATGATAGGATTTGTAGGCCGAGAACTTGTAAAGAAATATTGGATTGAGAAGAGAATAAGCCAGGAGCCTGGGGTTCACTGTTGCTGGAACAGCTTAGCTTAGGAACCAAACCCTTACCTCAGAAGTCAGCAAACAGCCTGTGCACCAAAAGTGACCTGCCTGTTTTTGTGAGGCCTTTAAACTACTAAGTGTATACATGTTGGAATGATTGAAAAGAAGAAAACTGCATGAAATTCCAACTTCAGTATCCATTAAAAAAAAAGTTTTACTGGAACAAAGGCAAGCTGTATTTAGTTAGTTGATGGCTCTTTTTACCCACAGTGGCCGAGGGATAAATTGTGGCAGACTCACCCACAAACCTACAACAGGTGCTACTTGAATCTTTACTGAGCAATTGGCCAAGCCCTGCCTTAAACCCACTTTTGAGAGTAGGGAAAAGAAGTCATTAATTGATTTGAATTAATGTCTTCAACAAGAAATGCCTGGTTTCAAAACCACAAACTGGGGCCCGGCGCGATGGCGCAGTGGTTAAGGTCCTTGCCTTGCACTCCCCGGGATCCCATATGGGCGCCGGTTCTATCCCGGCAACCCCGCTTCCCTTCCAGCTCCCTGCCTGTGGCCTGGGAAAGCAGTTGAGACGGCCCAAAGCTTTGGGACCCTGCACCCGCATGGGAGACCCGGAAGAGGCTTCTGGCTTCAGATAGGCATAGCATCGGCCGTTGCGCTCACTTGGGGAGTGAATCATTGGACGGAAGATCTTCCTCTCTGTTTCTCCTCTCTGTATATCTGCCTTTCCAATAAAAAAATAATAATAAAAATAAATCTTTAAAAATAAACAAAACCACAAACTGTCAGAGGGGACGTTTCTTCAAAGGATTGCTTAAGGACAAAAGGAAAAATCTGAAGGCCAAATAGTGTGTCTAACTTTTTTCTGTCCTTAAGTGTGAAGAGCCTAATGGCTTTTCTCTGGCTTGTATCACACTACATATTTCTACTCTGAACTGCAGGTTCAATGTAGAGTGATAAGAAGATACTTGTAAGTGCAAGTATCTTAGAGATTTTCCTTCTTCAAAATGCTACTACACTTAACAGGATGAAAACAGGCTTTTTTTCCATCTATATTTTCCTAGATTACTTTATTGGGTATAAAAGGATTTGGATTGGGATATGCTTTCTTGGCATACAAAGGCTACTTCCCAAATGTGAAGCTAAATTGCCATTAGGACTGCATATTCTAAACCAAGTCTCCAAAAGCTAAGACCGAATCATCCTTCTAGGACATTCTAGACCTAGAAATAGGAAGGAGTGTGGCCAGTCTGACGGTGTCCATCTTTGTGGGGGAGAGGTCATCCCTTTCAGTTCCTTCTGAAGTCCCATAAAGCAGTCTCACCATGGTGACCTATGAAAGTTGGAGTACTCACCAGCATGATTACTTACGTTCTGGTCAGATGGCTGTTTGCACGGTGCATGTGTTTCACCTGAGCCAAAGCGAAAAAGAGAAAACGGGAGGTAGTAAAGACAGAGTGAGTGCGGCTGAGCTTTCCCCTGGAAAGCTGGGGGAGGGAGCCGAGACTGAGCCTTCTTCCCAGGGTCACTCCACAAAGCTGGGAAGATTCCATGTCCCTCTTTGGGGAGGAAGCAGTGTACACTGATTGAACCGCAGTGATTATGGTTGTTAGGATCTTATTTGGAAGATAAACAGAGATCTTCTATTTGATGATTTACTCCTTACATGCCTGTAACATCCAGCGCTGAGCCAGTGTGAAAACAGGAATGGGGAACTCGGTGCAGGTGGCAGGGACTCAACTTTCTGATTCACCCTGCCTTTCCAGGGTGCTCATTAGCAGGAAACTGGAATCAGGAGTGGGGGCAGGGCTCAGAGCAGGCACTGTGCAATGGAGCCAGGTCCTGCAAGAGCTCGCCCTTCCTCCCATGCCTTCTCTCTCTCCATCACTCTTCCCCTCCCTCCCTCTCTCTCCTTCTCTGCTCTGCTTCTTCCACCCCATTCCCTCTTCCTGACTTTCAAATAAGTTAAACTGATCAGTTAATTTAAAAAGAAGGAGAGGTCTCAGAACCAAACTAAAACCTTGGTGCACTCCATCTCTCCTGAACTCATTCTAAGTAGGGGATAAGTCTTATCAAATCTGAGATTGGAACTGAAGATTGTAATAACTGAATGCCATCAGAAAGTGATGGCTCTACCCAAGACCTTAAAGTGGAACCAATGATAGGAGGAAAGTTAAGCATTTTCTGTTTATCAAGATCAGAATAAATGAGGATTAGACCCACATAACAAACCCTGAATGGATTAGCAAATTCTTTCCACTTGCATAAAATCTGGTGCCACATTTATCACATCAAAATCTTCTGTGGGCTTAAGTGAAGCTTTCTGAGCCCCACCCAGGAGTTGAGTCTATGGTTCTGGGTGGGACTCGGGCATCTGCTGTGTTAGTGAGCTCTCAGAGTATGTTGATGTTGCTACTGTTAGTGACACTTCCAGGAGAACTGGTCCCTGGGGTGGGGGTGGGAGGGAATTGAAATTAAGACTATTCCCCGTCTCATAGCTACAGTCGCTGGAATAAGAAAGAAGACAGAGAAGATATAATGCTTTCAACTGTTCCGGTTTGTTTCACATTTGCTTACAGTCTGTTAGCCAGAATTAGTTGCACGAACCCAACAAAACCACAAAATAAGGCAACATACAGACTATTCAGTGAGCACCACCATCTCTGCCACTTACCAACGGTTTACCAATGAAAGAGACCCAACCCAGGCAGGCAGACAGGCTTGTACTCAGATGCCTTTGCTTTGGCCTTCCCCTGCTTTCTGTTTGAGGTCAGTTTAGTGTTTAGTATTCATCTAACACATCTAGCAGTCGTGCACTGCTCAAGAGCTAAACCCTAGGTCTACTGGAAGCATTTTAAATATTGCTAGCCAATCGTGTGTAAGTCATCAGATGTCGGGGGTTCGTGGAAGAAAAAGAATGAGATTCTGGCTCTTAGTTGGGCTAGGGATATCTGACGATTCGCCTGTCTTGTCACAAGGGTTTTCTCACAGTGTTAGGAAGGGAGGGAATACCTCAGAATGGGGAGGTGTATACAATGGTGCATGGGGCAGCTCTGTGTTCAGATGTATGTGGGGGTGGCTGGATGGTGCAAAGGAGAGAATCATGCCCCTTGGGGGCTTTCTGCCTTAAGCTCTTGACACAGTGGGTCACAGGACAGCCATACACATTCCTAAGGTTCTCTGAGCCAGACTGAAATCTAGAGCACTTGAATGAGGTCCATCCTACTCATGAAGGGATCCAGGTCTTGAATAAGTAATTTCAAACTATGTGGAGGAGCACATTTTGTAATTGCAAGTGGGTTGTGGGAGGATAAGAGAACAAACAAAACCAACATGGAGACAGATTTGGAGTAAGCCTTCAACTCTTAATATCTTTTGAATTGAAATGCCAGATACTCACATGAAAGTCAATGGACAGAGTAGAACATCTAAAACGGAGACCTGCATGATTTAAAATTCCTATTTGCGGGGCCTGGTGCAATAGCCTAGTGGCTACAGTCCTTGCCTTGCTTGTGCCGAGATCCTATGTGGGCGCCTGTTCGCTTCCCAGCTGCCTTACTTCCCATCCAACTCCCTGCTTGTGGCCTGGGAGGGCAGTGGAGGATGGCCCAAAGCTTTGGGACCCTGCACCCATGCCTGAGAGACCCAGAGGAGCTGTCCTTGCTACGAATCTGCTCAGCTTGAGCTATTGCAGCCACTTGGAGTGAACCAGCAAATGGCAGATCTTTCTGTCTCTCCTGTTCTCTGTAAATCTGAGTTTTCAATACAAATAAATAAATCTTTTTTTAAAATTCCTGTTTGCCACAAGAAAGTGTGCTTAATAGGTTGGGGTACATCAAATTGCATTCCTGTGTTTATATAAATAGATACCTCTTTTACCAAAGCAAAATATTATTACATGCACTTTCATAATATGTGATCCTACAGATATTTGAGTGGCTAAGATACATGTATGTAACGTACACTTTAGGTACCTTTACATTAGTAACTTACAAACCTTTGTCTCAGTATATCTACATCTGCTTGATTCTTTACAGTCATTTCATATTTATTAGATGGCTATACTGTGATGTTCGAAATCTTTTTTTTTTTTTGGAATTCATTTATTTTTGTCAGAAAGGTGGATCTACAGTGAGAAGGAGAGATAGCAAGAATGATCTTCCACCACTGGTTCACTCTCTAAATGGCTGCAATAGCCAGAGTGGAGCTATTCCAAAGCCAGGAATCAGGAAGAAGCCTCTTCTGGGTCTCCCACACGGGTGCAGGGTCCCAAGGCTTTGGGCCGTCCTCTGCTGCTTCCCCAGGCCACAGGCAGGGAGCTGGATGGGAAGTGGAGCAGCCAGGACACGAACTGTGTCCATATGGGATCCTGGCACTTAGCCGATTGAACCATTGTTCTGGGCCCTAAAATGTTCTCTTAAAGAATTTATTTTTATTTATTTATTTATTTATTTGTAAACAGAGCTGCCAAGAGTAGCCGTGTGCCTGTACTTGTAAGTCTTTAGATATTGTTTTCTCAAAATAGTTTCCTGTAAGTAGATTGAAGAATGTGTAAATATACAAGTTTGCTAGAAACTATGGCTCTGCTTTCAAAAACTCCAACTACCAAAATTCTACTTTTTGATACTAAAAATATAGATTGCTTAAAACAAATAGAGCTTATCAAAGAATTAGTACATTTATTTCTTACAAGTATGTTCATTTCTCCATCTTGTATTCTACAACAGAATCCTGGCTCAGCCTAGCTTTTTTACGCTTAAAAGTTTAACATGGGTCAGGGATCAGTAGTCTTTTCCTGTGAAGGATGAGACAGCAAATATGTTTGGCTTTGTGAGGCACATAAGTTCTGTTGTCGTCATTCACTTCTACACAGTGGAAGACAAGGACATGGACAACATGGCAATGAAAGGGCTGGATTGTGTTTTTAATTAAGCTTTATTGACAAAAATAGGCAGTGTGTTGGCTAAGTTCTGAGGAACACAGCTTGCTACTCCTGATTTGGGTAATCAATCTGATAAGTTATTTGGCCACCACAACAGAAGTTTTGTTGCATAGACTGCCTGATTGTCTTTTTGTTCCCCAAATTGCTATTAATTTAGTGGAGCATGGATTCTGTAGAGATAATATGTAGATAAATATATCTATTATCATAAACATCTCATTTAAAGACAACAGTTATAGGGCTGTTGCTGTGGTACGGTGGTTTAAGTTACCACCTGCAGTGCCAGTATCCCATGGAGATATGAGTGAAAGTCCAGGATGCTCCACTTTTGGTACAGTTCCTTGTTAATGTGCCTGGGAAGCAGAGGATGGCCCAATCCTCTGCATTTGGGAGTCCTGATTGGAGCTTCAGGCTCCTGGCTTCAGCCTGGCCAAGCTCCCAGCTGCTGTGGCCGTTTAAGAAGTGTACCAGTAGATGGAAGAGCTGTCTCTTGCTCCTCTCTCTCCCTCTCTCTCTCCTCTCTCTATACCTTTAAAATATATAAATAAATCTTTTAAAGAAATGGTTATGCTGGCTTTATGGTACAGCAGATTGTAAACTGCCACTTGGCATGCTCATGTTCCATATCAGAGTGTCAGTCAAGGCACAGCTACTCCACTTCCAATCCAGCTTCCTGCTAATGTGAGTGAGAACCAGCAGGTGATACCAACATTCTTGGGCACCTGCTGCTCAAGTGGAAAGCCTGGATGGAGCTCCTGGCACTTTGCTTCCACTTAACCCATCCCTAGCTATTGCAGTGAACCAGCACGTAGAAGATGTTTGTCTCCCATCTGTGTCACTCTGCCTTTCCCATTAATAAGGTAAATAAATATTTTAAATTAAAAAGTGATTAAACCCTTATTGATAAAGTAGTTTTTAATCTTTAGGTGCATGTATATCACCTGGTAGATCTATAAAAAAAAATGTTAAATCCTGGATCCAAATTTAGTAAATTCTATTGTGAGCATTTTAAACAACTGCGCAGGTGGTTTTGGGGTGCTCAAGAAGCCCAGGCACTGGGTTGCATCTCAGTTACATACAGTTAGTTGCATGGCTGGGGGCGTGACCTCCTCCATCAAATGGGGATCTTTGTCGTACTTAAGCTCCTGTTGGAATTATTATGGTTTCTAAGGCAAGGACTAATTCCTTAGGAGGAAATATGTATACAGAATGAGTTTAGCTAGTACAGATACGCTTACACTAGGTGCCCAGTGTTTTTGAGGGCATCACGGTTGTATGAAATACCGCCTTCAGCTCTCAGGAGTATGTAGCCACAGGCATTATTGTCATCTCCTTCCTGTTGACTTGCCCTCTTCAGATTTTCCTATTCTTCCCCTAACCCCCCACCCCATCATTTTTCCAACCAGAGTTCTAAGCTTGTTACAAAATAAAGACAAGAGAATCACCAAAATTTTAAGACTGGCTTACTTTAGAAAAAAAAGCTTTCTCACTGTTTCATACAGCTGAGCACAGAAATGATAAATAACATTCTATAAATATTTTCTGGTTGGGCGGTTTTGAAACAACATCACCTAGCAAAGGCTTAGCAGAACCATTCACACTGAGTAGGTGTCAACCACTGTGTGATGGGAGAGGCTTAGGGCAGCGGGTGTAACTTGTGGTGGGATCCCTTCCAGCAAGTGGTCAAGAACACACAGTCTGTGTTCCAAAAATCAAGCATTCTAAGTCAATGCAAATTCATGTTAAGAAGAGTATTGGAATGTGATTCTTGCACCTAGACCATGGCACAGGGAAGCATGAACCTTCCTGGGGGCTCTGCTCCTTAATCTACCCACAGATATAATCAATTTCTTGATGCTTTAGGGTCATTCAGGGATTCAGTGATGTGTTTGGCACCAGAACATGGAGGGATTGGCACAGACCTGCTGGCTTTAGAAGCAGTGGAAAGACAGACTTACAAAAAGTAAGGAGTCAGCCATATACTTGGTCTCACACTACTCCCACTTCTACATCTTACGGTGCTGATGATCAGATCTATAGACTGGTCTAGGGGAGTATACCCTATGACCTCCTCTCTGTCCTCTGCCTGGGGCAGCTGCTCCCTGGCTGCCTGCAGCCCCCAGGCTGGAAGTCACTCATGTGTCCTGCCACCAGATACAATCTCCGGGCTCTGAGCTCCCTATCCACCTGCTGGTACCCTTGCAGGTTGCTGCCTGCTTTGAGTCCTGCCAGCTCTGTCCCTACACAGCTTACTTCTCCCCAGTGTGGGCAGGAGCACCAGCCCTTCCCTGTAATTGGCTAATGGTTTTATAAAAGTGATCTATTATGTTGCCATGCACTGCTGGGGGCAATAGGAAAAGCAGCAGATGCCTGGGGACAGCCCTGAGGGAGGGGGCAGCATGAGCAGAAGTCACTTTTCACTGGGATAAGTGAGCCAGCTCTCATGCCCAACAGTAATTAGAGGTAGCACCATCCGGGAGTCAGATAGAGGGTCGGAACAGGAAGGAGATAGGGAGTTCTCATAGCACCAGATTTTCTGCTCTGTATTTTCTGTGTTAATCTTAGCTTTGGTCTCTATTTCCCTCTGCAGGAATTGGCACTCCTTGAACAGTCTGCCTCCTGTTCCAGTGTTATTGGGTAAACTTAAAACAGTCCCAGAAGAGATTCTTGAGCAAGAGACCATCTCTGTAAATCACCTGGGAGGTGGAAATAAGGTTAGTTTATTACTCTGCTGACCACCCAGAAGCAGCTGTGACTGGAATCTGCCTATCATTGGAAACTTATTCACTTGTCACTTTTCTCAAATAGGACAAAGACTAGAAACCAAAAACTCTTTTAGAAGCAAAAGCCCATCATTGAGTGATAAATGCTTAGATTGTTTCTGATTCGTGGTTGCTGTGAGAGTGCTGCAGTGAACATGGGGTCCAGAAGTCTTCCTTGAGCATCTGGGAAACCTCCTGGGGAATTTTCTGTATCACCTGGGCATCTCTTCCCATCACCTCTAGTACAGGCAAGAGAGTTGGGGGAACCATGGCAGCAGGCAGCTGGAGGCCCAGGAACTTGGGGTCCTCACAGAGAGCAGAGAGGGTGCAAGAGTTGGGATGACAAGAGACCAGGCTTGGGCACTTGCTGTTGCCTGCTTCCTTCTGGGGTTGGAGTTAGCTCCCTTTCCCTTAGTAGATAACTCTTGTGCCACAGAGAGGTGGACATTTGGGATGGTGGAAGAGGAAAATCTTAAGCACTGTAGCATCTTGCTGATTTGTTGCAGGACAGGGGTCTCTTGGGTAACCGCAGGCATCAGGATGTTTGTAAGTTCAAGGGCTCTCTTGATTTGGGGCTGTGCACTGTGGTTTCCACAGTGAGAGGAGGTGAGGTAGTGGTGTCATCCCAGAACCACACTGAGCTGGGTTCATCTTATTAGAACTCTGTAGTCATAGTTTCCCCTGACAGAGCAGGAATTTCTATGCCATTCACGGTTGTCTCCACCACACAAATGTGCCTATGCAGTGATGCTGCAAGACTTGAACAGAGCAACCCACCTTAGAACACACACAGGTGGACAGAGCTGTGTGAAGGAGACCTGGACTCCAGAAGAGATTTGAAACATCTCATTCAAGGGCCCCAGGATGCAGCTGTCTTGGTGCCTTTGCTGTTGGTAATGACACAAGGCTACAATTTGAGTAGAAAGGAAAGAAAGTTACTTTGGCTCCTGATTTTTTTGTTCAGCAGTTGAAAAGCCATAACTGATGCCGGTCTCCTTCCTGGCAGACTCTGGGATAGTTCAGGGCCAAGAAAGGGAAGCTGTGTGTTCTGGTCACTCTCCCTGTCCTTACAAAGTCACTGGTGTTCGGCAATAAGGGCCACACCCAGATCACATCTAATCCTAACTACCCTACCCACAACTACCACAGCTCTGTCTTCTTAATAACACCTCCCAACAGAACCTTTGTGTTGATGAGGACACACAAGCCACATTATACACTTAGTAAAGGATGTGAAGATGTGTTTGATATGGGTGCCAATGTGCATAGGGGAGTGTTGTTAGCCCTTGATGGAGAAATTCCATGTTTGGGATTCTGCTTTACAAGTAAAGAAATCCAAAAATCAAAGAAAGGTTTATGCATAAGCATATTCAGTCTCCAGCATGTTTTTACAGCAATATAAAATTAAGCCTAAATTAAGTCATTTACAATATGGAAATGATCAGGACAGTTATGTTATTTTCACTTGATTGGCTATTAGGCTGCCTTCATAAACAATATAATGATGAGAAATGCTCATGCTATAATGATCAGTTTTTAAAAATCCGGTAGTGCAAACTGTGTTTGGCACAGTAGTTAAATTGCCACTTGAGACACCTGCATCCCATACCAGGATGAATGGTTGGAGTCTTGACACCTCCGCTTTCAATTCAGCTTCCTGTGAATGTGTGTGCTGGAAAACAGCAGAAACTTGAGCACCAGCCACCCATGTGAGAGACTTAGATAGAGTTCTAGATTCTTGGCTTCAGTGGACACTTGGGGAGTAACCAGTAGACGAGTGAGATAAATTCTCTCTCTGTCCTACCCCCCTGTTTTTCCCAAATCAAAAAAATAATAATAAAATATTTTTTTAAATAACAGCCTAAGATACCAATTGGCTTATTTTAATTTAGACTCATCCAGTTGTGGGGACAAGGTCAGTCCCACATTATCTGTTGTGTGGCTGCTGTTCTAAGGACAGAGAAAGAGAATTGGAGGAGCAAATGTGAAATATATCCTTGTCATCTACCCCTCTGCAAAAGTACCCTAGTGTTGTGTGCATTTATTCTATCTAAACCTCGGGCTGTCAACGTATAACCAACTGAGTCTTTCCCAGTAAGCCTATGGACAGAGTCCCTGCTCTACATAAAGACTGTTTTTATTTTCCTTCTCTTATAATCACCATTTATTTTGTGGAGCCTGGATTCTAGAGAAATAATGTGCAATATGCCTGCTACCACATACAGACAACAGTGGAGAATCCTATTGATTAATTTAGTGAATTTCAGCCATGAACATGCATGTCAAACATCTGATAGTGGTAAAAATATCAATACCAGGGTGGGCTTTAGGAGTAGTGATTAACCTAATAGTTAGGATGCCTGCATCCCCTATCAGAGTGCCTGAGTTCTAGTTAGCCCAGCTCTGCTCCCAAGTTCAGCCTCCTGCTAAGTTCAGCTCTTTGTCACCCTCTTGGGAGACCTGTGTTGGGTTCCAGGCTTCTGAATTTGGCCTGGACCAGCCCTGACTGTGGTGTGCATTTGGAGAGTGAACCAGTGAATGGAAGAGGTGTGTGTGTGTGTATGTGTGTGAAAGAGAGAGAGAGAGAGAGAGAGAGAGAGAGAGAGAGAGAGAGAGAGACATGCTATATCTCCCTCTGGCCTTTAAACAAACAAGGAAGCAAACATCCAAATCAATTTCTAGATCCATTTTAGAGATCCTGACATGAGTAGCCTAATCTGCCATTGCATGTGATTTGGTTATAGATGAATGAAGTTTGGGGAAAGAACTTGGTAGTAGTTAAAAGCAGCATCTACAGTTGAAACAAGTCTAGTCTTGCTTTCATGCTGTAGAATCCTTTTGTTTTACTTGCTGAGTCCTAGTTCACATTTCTACACTATTGCATACAGGATTAATTAGACAATGCATAAAAACGTACTCAGCCTATAAGCCTAAAAGATGTTAGCACTTGTTATTAAGAATGCTTGATTTATTGTAAATGAGCACCACAGAGCACTCTGCCAAATGGTATCCATTCAAGTGGTAAATTTCCCCAGAGCAGGTGCCTGACAATTTGACTCATGAAATATTCATGGTTTCCATGTTCCGCAACTACGCCTCCAGTGTAAAGTGGAGTGACTCTGTGGTCACCCTTTCCCCCATCGCTCCCAATTTGTCTCTGTCTTCCTTTTATTTATTTTTTTTCTGCCTGCTATTCTCTCTTTATTTTGAAGTTTATTTATTTTTATTTGAAAGGAAGAGTTACAGAAAAAGAGAGACAGAAAGATCTTCCTTCTACTGGTTCACTCCAAAATGGGCTGCAATAGCTAGGGCTGAGCCAATCCAAACCCAGGAGCCTGGCGCTTCTTCTGGGTCTCCCACATGGGGTTCAGGGTCCCAAGGACTTGAGCAATCTTTCATTACTTTCTCAGGCACATTAGCAGGGAGCTAGATCAGAAGTGGAGCTGCAAGACTCAAACCAGTGTCCATACTGGAGGATTAACCTATTACACCATGGCACCAACCCCACCTGTTATTCTTCTTAATCAGTAATTCTGATTTGCTAGCAAAACAAGAACAAACTCGACACAAGTTTACTTTTCAAAAGAGCAACTTTATTGCATTACTGGGCTGAACACAGTGGAGATCCAGAGGGTTGACCACCTACTGGCCAGTCTGGTGGCTGTTCAACTGTCACCAATCACAGTGTGAGCAAAGGGGAGGAAGCACAGACCCCAAAGATCCTGGGATCACATGGAGCTGGCAGTCGCAAGCAGTGTGACAAGAAAAATAAATTATAACATTAAATAGTATAAATACATTAATATTTAAATTAGGAGGGGTTCCCTGAGTGTGGCTGTTTGGTAACCACCAGCATGTAAGAGAGGTAGCTGTGGAGGTTGCAGGGCCATTTGTGAGACCTAGGCCACTCCAGGGTCACAGGACTCCCTGCAGCTTCTAGCCTCTCAGGCTTTCTGCTTCAGGTCAGCCATGTATTTCTGGACCCAAGCCTCGTTGGGGTCAGCACACACCTGCCGGCCTTTCTTGGTTAGGAAGCTGTGGAGAGAGAGCGAGGATGTCACACTGAGGGATCTAGCAGGGGGTGCAGGGGGTGCTGGGCGCCCAACCCTCTGTCCCAGCTTCTCTGGAATCCTTTATTATTTCTAGTCTAGACGGTGTCTTCTGCTCCCTCCTCTGTCCTGCCCCTTCATTGTGACTTCCTCACCCTCATTTTGCACCCTCATGCCCTGTGAGGCCATACCACCAGGCTTGGCCTTTCCGTGATTGCCCTGTGGTGCTTCTCTGCCCAGCCCAGCTTCCCCTCCTCCTTAGAGCTGGGCAGAATTGACACTTACATGACACCTGGCTTGGAGCACTGGCTGTTCGTTTCAAAGTAGTCAGTTATGAACTTGTAGTTGATCGGGTGGGAGACGTAGGAGAAGCAGCAGGAGCTTGGGGTGTCGGCACCCACTGTGGAGGAAGGGACAGAGAGGCTGAGTCACAAGAAAAGGCCTGCTGACCTCTGATCCATATAAGGGAGAGGGGGCTGGGAGCCTAGGCCACCAGCAGGCATTTTTACCTATGTCTTTATCTTCATGTTTGCCTGTATTCTCCCTCTGAGCCTTATAGCAATCTATTTACTTGTCTGAAGTTGGGTTTAAGAATACAAGCCTAAATCTTCTCACTCAAGATAGCCAGAGGGTACAACTGCTGGGACCCCTCTGCCTAGGGCTGGCTGATGAATGAATAACCCCACCAGGATGTAGCCAGATCAGGATTCTGTTGCTTGCACATTCCGTTTTCTGTCTGAGCTGAGGGCTGTGACCCATTTCATCCCACCCAGACCTGCAAACCTGGGGACAAGGCAAGCTAAGAAAAGGTCTTGAAGACAAAGACCACAACAGTTTGTGGCCCCTTGTAATAGTTTTCTTTCTCTAGGAGACCACAAAAGACAGATGTGATCTGCTGGTGGCCAGAGACACCACCAGTAAACGGACTCACGTGGTAGAGTGAAGACCTGGGTGCTGAGAGCCATGGCACACAGGATCACAGCGAGGGCAGCCATGGGGATCTTCATGGTGCTCGGCAGACAATGAGGTACAACAAGGTGTGCTCAGGGGTCGGCAGAATGCGGAGGGGATGAGGTGCTTGTGGCTGCCCGTGTCCTTCTGGCATCTGAAGCCATTCCCTCTTCTCTTTATAGGCAGGCCTGGCAGATGGGGAAATGGAATCTGGGGGTGTCGGGGAAATTCTTGAGCATTGCGATGTTGTCATGCCACAAAGTTGCACAACTCAGGGTCTCTGGTGCCCACAAAGGTTCAGGATATCCAAGAATAGCATTTCTGAGCTGTGAGTCTCAGCTCTCAGCTCGTGACTTGCCCTGGCTTCTTGGGGGAAACAGTTTTCCTGCAAGCAGGAGAGGGTTATTTGCCAACTCAGGGCTATTCGTAGCTGGCCGCTTCTCAGAAGAATTGAGCCATGAATGGACTAACTCTGGCATTCTCATTGCTTTCCCCAGAACAGAAATCTGGGTTTCCTCAGCCGTTGTAACCACAGACTCTCCTGTTCTGATGCGAGGACCCGAGGGAAGAAGTCCTGACTGGGAGGAAGCTGAGGTCACAGTCAGTCATCTGTCCATTCATCAAGCAGTCACAGAGTGACCAGGACACTAGGTTAAACACTTAGAGAAACTTTAGATGTAGGCGTTGATCTGTCAAGAACTTACAGATATTCTTAGATAAAGCATTTCTAGGAAAAAATTCAGCAGAAACAACCCAAATAGGGAGGCGTCTTCCAACATAAAGCTTTCTGACTCAGCTGCATTTAGAACTGAGATTTGGGGACCCAGACTGTCCTCTCTCAGGGCTTGTGAAGCCAATTAGATTATATACACTGGTTTGTTGCTTATTAATATCCTTCAAATAAATGAAGTGGCATGAACACACTCATAACTAGACAGTAACCAACAAGATCAAGTATACAGATTGTATGAGATGACTATACCTGCTCATGCATTGCTGAAGGACAGGAACATGCTCTAAAAAAAAAGTGTTGTTAGGCAAATTGGTCATTTGTGCTCACATCCTGGCATGTGCTGACACAAGCTGAAAGAACTCCCGTGTCACCAAACGATGAAGTCAGTGGGACCATCATCCATTTCATCATTGACAGAAACTGTTGTGCAGTAAATGATTCTATTTATACCAAATATGCTTTATAATCCAACCCTAGGCATGAAAAAGAAAAAAAAAAGCATTGGGAATAAATGCCCTAAGGACGTCATGGTGCTTATATTTGTGGGACAGGCTTATGGGTGCTTAATTTCCTTGTTTTATTCTTCCCCATGCTTTTTCTCTTTCTACTTAGACCATTAAAGATTTATTTATTTATTTAAAAGGCAGGGAAATTTCATCCTCTGCATCATTTTCCACTTCTTTCGTAGGCACATTAGCAGTAAGCTGGATTGGAAGTGGAACAGCTGGAAACTGAATCAGCACCCAACAGTGGTAGCTTTATAATCTATGTCACAATGCTGACCCAAGTGTCAAATTTCTCTGAATAATTCTAGCGATTCTATATAATAGTGAAGGCAATATTGCCAGACTTGGAGCTCTTCTTTTTATATTCATTGCAGTATATCTTTTCAGTGATGTCAGACAGAGTTTTTTTGTTTGTTTGCTTTTAATTTATTTATTTGCAAGGCAGGGTTTCAGAGAGAAGGAGAAAAAGAGAAAGACAGAGAATGATCTTTAATTTGCTGGTTCACTTCTCAAATGGCTACAATGGCTAGAACTGGGCCAATCTGAAGCCAGGAGCTTCTTCCAGGTCTCCCACATGGATGCAGGGGAACAAGAACTTGGACATCTTTTTAATTGCTCAGTTTATTAACTGTGAGCGATGAGAAGTAGTTGGCAGCAGGAAGATCAGGCTCCCACAATAACAATAGCAGCAGTAGCAGCAACAGCAGCAGAAAGGTGTAGGGGCATTCAGGAGGTAGGAATGTGGGCAGTATTGGGAGGACGCCTGGATGACTGGGGGCAAGGTGGGTCCTTTTGGTTGCAGCAGGGAAGATATGCCCTCTTCATCCACCACTTGCTCCCAGTAAGGCTCTCCCTCCTCTTGGTATGTGACCCACATAGCAGCTGCTTTTCCTGACCACCTTGAGGTCTAGTTTTGGATTCACTAGCAAGTTTTATTAGGAAGCAGGGAATTGTCTACAGCTCATATTGTGGCACTCCAGATGGGACCAGCAGGCAGGTCATCACTCAATGTTGAATCCTTCTTCCCATCATGGAGTATTTCTTTCTCTCTGGCACTGTCCCCAGAGCAGGTTGCAGCCGGCCAGTGTACAGCCAGGCATGTGACACCAGAAGCCTGGCCATCTTCTGTTGCTTTCCTGGGCATATTAGCAGGGAGCTGGATAGGAAGTGGAGCAACCGGAACTCGAACAGATACCCATATGGAATGCAATCCCTGCCCTCCCCAGGCACTGGCTTTACTGACTATACCACAACATTGGTCTCCAGACAGATTTTTTTTTTAAAGTGTTTTCTGTTTTTGTTATTTTGTGATTTCATCATTAATAAGCATCCACTACATTGTATAATGAGAAGCAGATTTAGTAGCCTCAGTGCCCCATATGCCCTTTGTTGGTAGAGCAAGTGTGGAACAAGTCACCCCAGCACTCCATGGACACTCCTATGGAAAAAATGATAAAGCTCAGAACACCAAGGAGGGAAACCTTGCCCCAGAGGCTTGAGGAAGACCTCAGGGAATAATAGGGCTTTGACTGAGTCTTGCAAACTGCATAGAGCTTAAACGTACATGGCTGGTGCAGGGAAGGATGGCAGTCTAGTGGATGCAGTCACAAGAGGGAAACTGTGGAGTTCAAGTAAGGAGGGAGGAGTCTGTGGAGCCATGGAGCCTTGAGGGTGTCCACTTGGATGGTGATGCTAGATTAAAGCCAAACCTGCAGTTGGTTGTGTTAGCTACTAGAGAGCATGGAAGACATGAAATGTGACTAAATAAGACACTATTGAAATTCTGTCCCTCCAAGGAGCCTGAAGAGAAGTTGATTCTTCTCAACCCTATGGGGTGGGCTTCCATGTTACCCTTATGATGGCTGATGCTGGCCCTGAAGGAGGCAAGCAAAGACAGGTCTGGGATTCCAAATAAGGGCATCTCTATTCTTTGTTTTGTTGAATACTCTGTGTTGTAGACAATGCCTCCTTTTCACTGCCTCCCACTTTACTGTCTCCCCACCCTCAATTGATACCAAATTTGATGTCCTTACTTCTTGGGGAACCCCCTTCACACTCGTGATTCCATTTTTGAGAGTTGGTTTCTATGAGCAGGGGAGAATGAAACAAGGAAATGGAAACTGCTGATTCAGCCACTGTTCTGCCAATGGACCACATGAAAATAGGGCTTGCCCAGTGTGTTTGGCTATCTATGTAATTTAATTATCTGTGTCAAATTTCTCTTTAAAGATGTGACCATATCCTGTTGATTTTCAAGCCAAACTCAGACCACATCCTGTGGGTTGAATGAAACCAAAGTCCTAGCACATGTTGAAATCTCTTAACATAGTCTTTATGTTCTTATAATCGTGTTTGTTCTAATAGAGGTAACTTGTGGAATATATAACTCTATCTTTGTGTTTATATATTTGTAAGAATTTTGGTATCAGTCTCCAAACCAGGAAACAGTCCTCTGCCGCATGTTTATACTTGAATTGGAAAATGAGCTGCTTGAGTTTGACATACTGAACAGATAACATAAGGGAGCCTTGGAATGGTTGAGTTGCAAGCGTCTTGGAAATGCGTTGGGTGGTAAATTCATGTTCTCAGGGGAATCACTTGTCTGGGGTCACTCAAATGGAATTTCTCAGTTTTGCATTTTACAGTCTGTGTTATTTACAGTATAGCTCCAGCAGGAACTACAATGCCTGATGGATGGTGAGGCTTGAAAAAATACCTTACACTTAGTGAATGAATGCATTGCTGATATGACTAACTATGTATCATGTGCCTCAAGTCTCACCATGGAGTTAGAATACCAATGGGAAGGGGAAGCCAGAAAGGCTCTGGTGTCTAGGTCCTGATTTTGAAGTGACCACCCAAGGTGTCAACAGTAATAGTAACAGAAATTGACCAGCAGTCAGTGTCCTGGCTCCTGCAACATGGAGGACTAGATATGTGTTTTAGCTTTTTGTGACCTCTCAGAAGCCCTGCCTCAATTTAGCACAGGATCCTGGCCACGGGAGCAGGGAAGCCTGGCTAAGGGTCATCTTCCCTCCACCACCGCCCTGGACTGCTCTGCTTACCGCTGCCACCTACTCTCATGCTTCTGACCTCCCAGGCTCTGGCCCCACGACATTGGTTTCCCTTCCAGTTTCTAACACTTGGGCTCTGCTCCCTAGGGTCAGCCTCACCTCTGTCCTTTGGCAAGAGAGGTCCCACGGAAGGGTTCTCAGTGAAGTGGCACCTACATCTGACCTAGGCTTAGCATCCTTTTCTCAGGTGAGAGCCAGGTGGCAGCAGGCAGGGCCCTGGCTTTTCCATGGTGGCAGGAGCCAAAGGCTGACATTTCCTGCAGGGATGAGATCTTTTGGGTACAGGCCTTCTGTCTGCAGCCTGCCCCATCTTTTCTATCTCAGGTTCTCCTGAGTCTGCATTGGCCATGTCTGTATGCAGTGGATTGAGAGGAACATCTGGTATTGGGGTTGATCCTTTCTCTGACACCTTGTTCTATTTGTGTGTTCTCTGCCCAGTGAAGAGGGCCCTTCCCATGGAGCTGCAATTCAGATGCCTGCATGTCACCACTGTCTCCATTCTTCATCTATACCTCCTTATTCAGCAACTCCAGTGCACATTAAAAGCCAAGTGCAGCAAGGCTCTGATCATTCCCATTGCTGCTACCCGAGGCTGGGCCCCCAGTGCGGCTCACCATGACCTCTGTGAACCTCTGGCCGCTGTGCTTTCCTTCTGTCTGGCCTCTCTCCATCTACCCTGCCGTGTAGCAGCCAGTGTAGTTCTGCAGAAGCTCACAAGAGTTGTGGTTCAGCATTCTTCAAACCACTGCCTTGTTGCATGAGCTAGAAGCCTCTTTGCCATGACCTGATCCTGGTGACCTCTTAGGCCTCAGGGTTTGCTGCATTTTGACTTTCTGGAAACCAAGACTGAGCCCCTCAGAGCCTCTTGTAGTTCCTTAAACATGTAAGCCTCTTTCCTGCTTTGAATGAATAAAGTGTGGACTGAGCAAAGCATAATTCCCGTTTTGTAAACCTCAAGGCAGAGCAAATACTCAAGTGTGGTCACAGCCGGTGACAGCTGCAAGGTTTAGTATTTACAACAGATACAGAAAGCCACTGTCACATTCCCTTCATTTATTACAGAAAGGAAATCCGTGGATTCTGTCATTGAGGGACACACAAAATGCATGCTGGCAGAAGCCTGCATGTCAAGCCTGTCACATATGTTTATAGTAAGACACATTTCTCTTTTCTGTTTTCATATCCACTGCAGCCATTTTTCCTTGGTTTCCTTTCCAAATCTGTGTGTAGCAGCTGTGTGTTCTTCAGTAGGTTCCCTCCCTCTCTGGGCTTCGGTTTCCTTGTTTGTCAAAGGAGATAAGAATGAAATACATTCACATCTGCCAAGGGCTCAGAATATCCCTGGCTCCTGTTATGTTAGGGGCTAGCATCTATTTATCAGTATTACCATTTTCTTTAAAGTTTCTTTGTCTTTCTATTTCTTAAATTATTTTTAAAATAGACACAAAATTGTGTATATTCACAGGAGAGTCTTGAATGATTCAATCTGTGTACACATTGAATGATGTTTAAGTCAGGGTAAGCCTATGCATTTCCTTCCTTGTCATTCCTTTTTAAAAAAGATATAGTTTATTTATTTGAAAGTCTGAGTAACAGCAAAAGAGAAAATTTCCATCTGCTCATTTACTCCTGAGATTCTGCAATGTCTCAGGGCTAGGCTAGGAGAAAACCAGCAGCCAGGAACTCCACTCCACCAGGTCTCCTATGTGGGTTATAGGGACCAAGGACTTAGGGCTATATTGTGTTGCTTTCCCAGGATCATTAGCACGAAGCTGGATCCAACATGGAACAGGTAGAACTCAAGCTGTTGCTTTAATCTGGGGCACCAGTGCTGCCACAGTGCCAGCCACCCTTTAATTTAGTGTAGGTCCAAGTGCCTTCACTTCCACTTTGCTTGTTTGCCTCACTAATCAGCCTTGAAGTTTCAGCTGACCTGGAAACCCAAATGGACTGAAGTAAATAGCTGAATGTAAAATACATATTTTGATATATCCATGTGATAAAATATGTATTTATTAATGGTATATTTGAATAATACTTGAGGCTTTATGCCAATAAAGTTAACATGGTAAGTACACTAGTTCAAGAGATAATATTAAATACCAACAGTAGAATATGAAATTAGATATAAAAGAGTGGGTAATTTTTTTTCTTGTCATGATTTCCTGTATTTTTAAAATTCAGTTCTGGAACCATGTATGTTTTCTATAAAGAAAAAAAACTAACAGATTTCTTTTTAAATTCAGCTCCTCACATTTTATGCAAGATTTTCTGGATGCTTCACTACCACTATCATGTACTCTCAGCATTGGACATGGTGCCTGTCACTCAGGGGGTCTCAGTGAGGCTTTACTGGGTTCTCTCTGAATTGTTTACTTGAAATGGGTTGGGGGAAGGGAAGGAAGGGACCTAGAGCCTCCATCTGCTAGTTCACAGCACAGGTACCTGCAACAGTTGGGCTGGGCCAGGTCAAATTTAGGAGACTAGAACTTAGTACAGGCCTTCCATGATGGTGACAGAGACGCAAGGACTTGAGCTGTCACCTGCTGTCCCCTGGGAAGCTGGATCAAAAGCAGAGCCAGGGTTTGAGCCTGGGCACTCTGATGTGCAGGGTGGGTATCCCAAGTGTCTACTGAACCACTGTGCCAACCCCTACCCCTGCCGAATGCTTTTCTCTTCATCCTGGGCGGCTCTCTGTGGGCTACTGGAGACAGCAATAAAGGCTCAGGTGGAAAGAAGATGCTTCACAAGGAATACTGAGAGGCTCTGAACTTGCCAGATCCTGGTGAGAGCTTACCTTTGCTCTGGGATTCAACACTCCCTAAATTTACTGCTGTCTACCCTTGACATCCCAAGGGTTGGCACTGACCAGTGACTAAGGCTCATTTCTGCCTTGAGCAGCATGGGGCTGCCTTGCTAAGGGTTGGGAGTATTGCAGGCAGTGAGGAGCCACCTCAGCCAGTTCCACGCAGCAGACTCTGTCTCTCATCCCCCATCCAGTCACTCCCCCATTTCCCCCAAGTCATTGGGAAGCCGTATTGACAAAACCACAGGCTTTGCAACTGCTTAGTTGACTGTGTTGGCAAAATGACTCATCCTGGCTTTCTAGTTTTAATATTTATCCTGGAGTACTTTTCTTGATCCAGGCCTTCTCATCCAAGGGGAAGGAGCTGTTGGTCCCAAGACTCAATGGTAGCCCTGACACTCATGAATCTGAGCACTCCCAGGAGCAGTCAGAATGCTCAAATGGACTGTCTCTATGTCTTTGGGAGTTTAGAGACAGTTCACATCAGATATCCCCTTCATGCCTACTAGGCCTCCAAAACTAAGAGTTAACCACTGGCAAAAGCAAAGCTTCCGTTGCAGGGCAGACTATTGGCTGTTTCTAACTGCCAATGTAAATGAGCCTCCCTTCTTCTCTGTGCTTAAGTTTCCCCACAAGTAGTGCAAAAGATGTGAGATGCATTCTGAGACTAGATCCAGTTCTGTTTTTCTAGCATTCTTTCTTGTTCTCTGAGGACTTTTGAGATTAAGACTCCTGCATTACAGGCTAATCCCCCATTCCCATTTGCCATCATTTCCCTGATGCCCCAGAACACGTCCCTTTATAACCTCACCACTGATCAAAGAGCCCACACGGCCTGTGGAGTCAGAGCACTGCCTCAGCACACAGGGGCTGAGACTTGATTTGGAACTGTTTGCCCACAGCTGGGGATGACTTTTTCCATCCCCTTGGGCAACCAATAACTAGCAGACTGGGTTGAAGGAACACACTGCATCAAAGGACATTTGTGTGGTTCCAGGGAACACAGAGGCATCATGTTTCCCTGAGGGCAAAATCTTCCATCCACTGGTTTTCTCCCCAGATCCCCTTGGCAGCTGGTGCTGGACTAGTTTGAAGTCAGGAGCTTCAGTCCAAGTCTCCCATGTGGGTGGCAGGAATCCAAGTACTTGAACCATCACTGCTGCTTCCCAGGTGTGTTAACAGGAAGCTAGCTTGGAGGTGGAGCTGCTGGGACTTAAACCAGGCACTCTGGTATGGGATGTGGATGTCCCAAGTAGTGGCTTAATCCACTGTACCACAGTGTTCCCCATTCCTACTGATTTGTTTCTCTTATTCTCTTCTGGTCCAAGTGAAGATCCTGAAATCTTTCATTCTTTTCCATTCCAGCCTTGTTCTAGAACACAGTAACCCAATCCGTCTCCTGAAGGGAGTCCTAATGCAATGCATCTCTGTGGTCAGTGTTCTGCGTTGTGCTCTCTTGGTCTCTCTGTTGATTGTGGAAACCATACCAGGGCAAGGGCATGGATTTCAGCAGCTGCTGGGTCTCAGTTCAGATGTTGGCACTGCAACTTGGCAGCCCCAGAGACCTGCTCTGGGACCCCTCACTGTCTTATCTCTATGATAGGACTCACCATACTCCCACTCAGGGTTAGGGAAGCATTAGACCGAGTGTATACGACAGCTTGTTCAACACCAGGAATATGATAAATGTTCAACAGGAAGTTCAAATGTACCTGAGGCACACTGCAGGGCCCCCTGTATGTCCAAGGCTAGACTGGTAATGGACAAAGGAACTGCGAGGCCTTATTGCCACTCAACCTAGAAGAAGGCATGGCAGACCTGGTTCCCCCTCCTTCTAGGGGCCAGACTTGAGGCCAAACTGGAAAGAATGACATTAAGCATGCAGTACATGGAAGGACCAACCACTTAGCAACCCACTTCTTGTCTACAAATCCTTGTAGAAGGTGTGAGCGTGTCACCCTCCGTCTCTGGCTGCATACACTCCTATTGGCAATCTGGCTGCTACCTTTGGTGTACCACTTCCCCCTGAAGTACAGCCCGCGTCTCCCCACCACCTCCCTCCTCTTCCTCCATGATGACATCTTGCTGGTGAAGAAGTGTTTCACTCAGCTAGTTCCAGTTTCCTCACTGGCACCATGACATCATCGCTACCATGGAAATTCCGCTCCGCCTCCTCCGCTAACACCTCTGTCCCAGACCTATAAAGAGGGACTCCCAGACCAGGGGCAGCACGGAACACAGCTAGCTTCTGCAGCTTCTGCACCCGGCATCCTTGAGAAAGCCTCACCTGCAGCCAGACCATGAAGTTCAGCATGATCACCCTCTCTCTTCTCTTGCTGGTGGCTGCCATCTGCCCTCCAGCTCTGTCGGCACCAAGTAAGTCTGCTCCTTCAGCTGCTTCTCCAGGGTTCAAGTGTAGGCAGAGTCCACTTTGATTGTAGGGGCTGGCCCAACAGTGGAGCTGGGGAGGGTCCCCAGAAGACTGCTATTGGGAGTAGTAGCATCTGATGGGCATTCGGCAATGTTCAGGTTCCTGCTTCCTTAAAAATGAGCAGCCAGAAGAGGAGCAGCATGGGCTGGAAGTGGTTTCTTGCCATGACCATCCTTACTACTTATTTCAGAGAGTCCATGACCTTCTCTGTGCCTGCTGCCCCTAAAATGTGAAGAGAGTGAGATGTGTTGGAGTCTCAGCACAGTTCAGTCATCTAGAACTCTTGTTCTTTATTCAGAATGAGACTCCCACTCAGGGTGGGTGGGAATGGATGTGGGGGTCATAGTTGGGGTTCTAGTGGCTCCAGGAGGACTTAGAACTAGAAGCTCCATCCTAGAACATGGATCTCACTCCAGCCTTTCCCTACAGTGGGCTCAGACCCCCCGACTGCCTGCTGCTTCTCCTACACCCTGAAGCAGATCCCTCGTCAATATGTGATGGATTACTTCGAGACAAGCAGCCTGTGCTCCCAGCCAGCTGTAGTGTAAGTATGAACCCCTGGTTTAGCCTACAAGACGAGGGCAGGGGGAACAGGATTGTGAAGTGGGAGCCTGCTTAGGGCAAGGCTGAAGTCCTCACAGGCAGCAGAGAGGATGTGGGCCATGAGGTTAGCCTGCAAGTCATGAGTGTGGCTGAGTGGGAGCTGAAAGAGATGAAGGGGCTTCTTGGGAAAGAAGTGATCCAGAACTCAGAAAACCAGTGAGTCCAGCTGGTCACATACCATGGGCCAATTTCTTAAACCACATATGGGAGAGCCATTGCTGGGGACAGTAGAAAATGGGGAGATACATCCATAATAATTCAACCCCATCAGTTAAAAGTGAACTCTGGGGTCAGGTGGATGTTCTATGGAGTTGGGTCCTAGCAGCCACCCAGGAGGCATGTCATGCCTTGGCGCTCCCAACAGGAACCATGGCCAGGCAGAGGGAGATGTCCATCACTAGACGAGGGCTAGAAGCAGGTATCCTCTAGCACCCCATCAGACTCTCATGTGAGAATCTTTTTTTCTGCAGATTCCAGACAAAAAGGGGAAAGCAAGTCTGTGCCAACCCCAGTGAGTCCTGGGTCCAGGAATATGTGGATCAGTTGGAGATGAGTTAAACTTAGCCACCCTGGACAGGAAGTCTTCAGGGAAGCTTGCCTGAGCCTGGATGCTTCTCTGTGAAACGCACCTGCTCCACAGGCATGACGTCTCTCAAGAATCCCCAACCCTCTTCTTAATTTAAGCTGCATTATGCATTGTACTATTATATCTATTATTTATGCCTGTTTTGTCCAAGGACATATGTCCCCTATGGGGATGGTCCACCACTAAACTTTCTCTGCTGTTGCGGATCTGTGGATAAGTAGATTCTGTGTATTCTCACAATAAAACCTCAAACAATATAGTTGGCTTCTTTGTGATTTTAATTTGGTCTGGGAAGAGGGGAATTGTCTGGTTTGATTCATAGAAGCATATCTCAAAACATTAAGAAGGAGCAATGGTGGGGGTGTTGCGGTATAGTAGATAAAGCTGCCTATATAGGTGCAAGTTCAAGTATTGGCTGTTCTGTTTCCAATCCAGCTTCCTGCTAATGGCCTGAAAAAAGCAGCAGAAGGTGGCCCAAGTGCTTGTGTGCCTGCTATGTGTGTGTGGGAGACCTGCATGAAACTCTTGGCTCCTAGTTTTCAGCTTGGTTTAGCCCTGGCTATTGCAGTTATCCGGGGAGTGAACTAGTGGATGAAAGATGTGAGGAGTGATTCGAACATGCCATCTTGGACCCGACGCCATTTCCTGCTTCCCCTTCCCTTCCTTCTCAGGAAATTCACACCATTCCATTCCAGTTATCCACCAATCAGATGTAACCTGGCGCCTTACCTGAGAATCCCACGCCCCAATCTCTGGCCCCTCCTGGTCTTCACTCACCTACCTGTGGCTCAGATCATCTCAGTCACAAGTTGAGAGGGGGGCCGCCAGCACACAGCTCCTCCCTTCTCGTTCCCCCTCTCTCTTCCCTTCCCTTCCTACCTAGCTCTTCCCTGTCCCCCTCCATCTTATCCCTTCCCCTGCCCTGGCAGCTCCCATCCTGCCACCATGGCAGGAGATGTGTCCCTTCCAGTTTTCTCCCCTTCAACCTCTGCTCCCATTCCTACCCTGCTGAAATAAAGGACCTACTAAGCACCTTGCTGTGTCTGGGATTTTGGCTTGGGGTAAACATCATGAATAGAGGACTTGGCTATGGGAATTAGCTGCGCGTAACAACATAAGAACTTTAAGTGCGTTCAAAACCTAACAAAAGATCTCTCTCTCTCTAACCTAACAAAAGATATCTCTCTCTCTGACTTCCAATAAATAAATACACTTTTGCAAAGGGGCAGTGATTAAGTTTTTTTTTTTTAATTAAAACTGCAAAGAGAAAGGGAAAGACATCAGCTATCCAGTGTCCACAATGGCCAGGGCTGGACCAGGCCAAAGCCAGAAGCCAGGAGCTTCGGTAGAACCTCCCACAGGGACCCAAGCACTTGGAACATCTTCCATTGTTTTGCTGGGTTCATTGGCAGGGAGCTGAATAAGAAGTGAAGCAGCCAGGACTCCAATTGCCGCTAACAGGATGCCACTGTTATAAACAGCAACTTAACCCACTGTGTCACAATGACAGCCCCCGTGACTGCATCCTTAATTTGTACTTCAGGCTAAATGCTCTCCATACGTGACCTCCCTTAACACTTCAACAAAGGTTTTAATGTCCAAAGGGCTGCGCTTGTATCTTCACAGGGTTGTCATGAGGATCAGGTTAGAGTAACTCAGCCCTCAGCAGCCTAAAGCCAGTGTGAAGGATGACCATAAGGACTGAGAATGCACTCTCACTTAGTCCTGGAGGGTTACAAGAGTAACCCCCAGCCATGCCTTGAACTGCCTGACACTCAGGACTTGCTCTATGTGTGCCAGAGAGAGCTTGGCGGGCATATAGTGAAACATGCCCAGGCGAAGCACAGCCTGCTAAAGCTAGGGACCCTTCTGCCCCCTGGTGCAATGCTTTCAGGTTAGGGAAATGGAGGGCCAGACATGAGAAGGTAGCTGACTGCTTGCTAACATGTGGCACAGCAGGAAGCCGCCCAGAACCACTGCCTGGGAGTGCCCCTGTGCTCTCCTGGAGGTGGCCATGGAGTAAGCAGGATAGAGAAGACCGCTTTGAAAATCCTGAAAATGTTCTTAGTTCTGGGCGAGGGTGGTGTTGAGACTCTCTTCTCTACGCCCAACAGACCCAGTTCCCTTCCTTGATCTGCCCTCAGTCACCTTCGTCATCCCCAGGACCCTTGTGGGAGCCATTTTTAGACTCTGCAGGAACAGAGAGAAGGAGGTGGGGCAGGTGGATGGAGATCCTGACTCTGGCTTCAGCCTGGCCCAGTCCCTGCTGTTGTGGGTGTTTGGACCTAGTAGATGGAAGATCTCTGTGTCTGTCTCTGACTTTCAAATAAGTTCTTAAAAGTAGCATGAGCTACAATGGTTAAGATGCTACTTGAAACACCTGCAACTTGTAGCCGACTGCTTGTGTTAGACTGTCAGCTCTACTTCTGGCCCAGCTTCCTACTAATTCCCTGGGAGGCAGCGCTGGTGGCTCAAGTTCTTGAGTCTCTGCCACCCACATGAGAAACCTGGGATAGGGTCCCCCCTCCTGTCTCCAGCCTGGCCCAGACACAGTTTCTGTAGGCATTTAGGGAGAGAACCAGCAGATGAAAGATCTCTCAGCTCTCACTCTGTCTCTGTGCCTTTCCAACATATATATGAAAAATAGGTGTGAGGAGGAGCCAGCAGCAAAGCACCAACCTGGTCTGAGCTTCTGGCTTCATCTACTGAAAGCTAAGCTATCTAAGGTGCTAGTCCCTAGTCACAGAGGCTACTTATAGTTAGGTAAAATTCAAAATGTAGTTCAGCAGGTTCACTGGTCACATTTTCAGTGTTCAATAACCACATGTGGCATGCTTGTGGCTACCCCAGGGGATAGCGCAGACAGAATTGTCCATCATCACAGCAAGCTTTTTATGGCATGGCACTGTTCTAGAATATTTTCAGGACCTAAAGAAAGTAAAGGAAGAGGAAGTGAAGTCTACAGCATGAAGAAAAGATAAAGTGAAGGTTGAGTTGTTGGTTTGCAGAAGGACAACCATCCTCTTGGGAGGGGAGGAGAAAGGAGATGAGAGGACAGGAAAGAGATTATTGCCAAGCCAGGGAAAAGACTAAAGAACACTGTGCCTCTGGACAGCAGCCCCCAAGATGTCCGCATCTTGGGCAGGTATTTGGAGCGTGGTCAGGGTGCAGTTTACATGTCCTATAGAGTACCTGCATCATGACTCTGCCCCTGTTTCCCGGTTCCTGCTGATCTGGACCCTGGGAGGCAGCCCTGGTGGCTCTAGTGGTTTGGGCTCTGTTGCCCACATAGGAGATTCCTTAGGATTCTGGACACTTGGTGTCAGCCTGGCTGCTGCAGACGTGAGAGGAAACCAGCAGTTGAAAGACCTCCCTCTGTCTCTGTGTCTTCAAACAAAAGAAATAAATGGATTACAATGAAAAAGAAATTGTCTATATCCTAATTCTTGGCACCCATGAGTGCTGCCTGCAGTGGGCAGAGGACCTTGTAGATATAATCATGTCAGGGGCCTGAGACAAGGCAGTGACCCTGGGCTAGCACTGTGCTCTGGATGCAGCCATGTGGATGAGCGAAGAAAGAGATGAGGTCACAGAAGAGCAGGCAGCCATGTGACCACCGAAGCCAGAGGCCAGGCTAGGAGTCCACAAGCCAAAGAAGGCAAGGATGCAGGTGTGGGAACTGGAAATGCATGAGACTGTTGTCAGACCTCTGTGCGCCAGAGCTGTAAGGGCACCACTGTGGGTGTTCAGGACAAGTTTGTGGTAATCCATCACAACAGCCACCGAAACTCACAGATCACTAACTCAGACATCATGCAAGAAGGAGTGGAACATTCTAGAGCCAAACTTGCCTGAAGCAGAAGCGCAGGGACAGGTGGCCCCACTGCAAGGAGCTGGAATCACAGGGGCAGGTGTCGCCAGGGGAGGTGCCCCGTCAGCAGCTCAGTGCGAGGGCTGGGGATTTGCCAGAGATGAGACCCTCAGGAAGTGGTCCCTCTCTCTCATTTCTCAGCCAAAGCCGACAGCAGAGCCCTGACCTGCCTATGGTTTCACTATCGGTAACAGGACAGGGTGCAGGGCTAGAATCTCACAATGGAGCCCCACTGCATCCCAAACTGCAAGAGCTGAGAGGCCAAGTGGGTACCTCCCACTTGTGGGGAAAGCTGCCGAAGGCCTGGACACATTTATGAACCAGTGCTGCACTTGGGGAATACCAAAGCCCATGTAGAGTCCTTATGGTGATGCAATGCGGGGTTTCACCTTTGCACAACTGAAACTGTTTTCTCTTGTCACACGACTTCCTCCCGCTACCCTGGGCCCACAAAGTTGGCCTCTGCTTTCTCAATTTTTTTGCAGCTGGGGCTCTCCAGATTTCAGGATGAAGACTGGAACTAAAAGAGGTGAAGCAGAATAAGAAAAGGGAACCATGATTTTAGGGATCAATTTCTGGAAGCCAGGGTGGTGCTCCCTCCTCTCCGGCATTGTCTGTTCCCCACTTCCCTGCCCCAAGTTAAGAGGGAGTCTTTTCCTCCTGCACTGGTGGGTACAAACTTCCAGTTCTCCTGCCTGTCCTCCAAGTCAAGAACCTTCTATAATGCTCCCATAGACACAGGCATTTTCTCCTAGGATGCCAGGAGCCGAGCAAGCTGAGAAAGGGGGCAAGGAATCAAACTGAGGAAGCTGAGGATAACAACAAAGCCACAGTTGTTCTGGTGGCTCTCACCAGTGGCTGCGGTGTAGTCCCAGGCTGCATTCTGCTCACCTGTCCCAGCCCCTGGGGACTGTCCCTCACTCTTTGCCACTGTTCTGCATTCTAAACCTCTCTCCTCCTGAGTCCCCCAGGGGTGGTCAGGAGGTCTGCTTGCCCCTCTTCTGCCTGACAAGTACAAAGCAGGCTTCCTCTTCATTCCCATCTCTCCCCGTCACTGTGTCTCTTTCTGTAAAACTGTTGTCACTGGAGTAAGGACGAGACCAGCCTCCCACTCGGGCCCTACAGGGCCTTCAGGATTTTCCTGCCACGTGGCTTGCTGCTCTGCTCATCCATGCAGTGTTCTCTCCAGGAACCACTCAGAGCTGAGCAGGGTTGGTCAGAGGCCACCAGCTGCCAGGATAGAGCCTACCCTCTTCACTGCCAGGGCCTTAGCCAGCTTTCAATCTTTGAACATTGGATCTTCCCTACCTACTATGGCCAAGGGATGCCCAGCATGCCAGTGACCTCAGCCCTAGGGCTGGTAAGTGGCTCCAGAGACACGCTCCC